CGCTTGTCTAAACAAGGATACCATCATGGAACTGTCTTGATCCAATGTCCGGACTGCAAGAACAGGCATTTGATTGCGGATCATCTTAAGGTATGATGAAAGAATACACGAACTGGCGGTGCAGTCTAACGATTAGCAGGTATTCTCAGATAAGTCCGTCACAATCGAAGACCTCATGCGGGAGAAAGGCAGCCTAGTCAAGAGAGGCTCTCTGAGTGCAGAAGGCGACGTTGAATTCTGGGATGACGGCAGCACCACTCCTCGCTCTGCACAATTCCATGCCGAATCGAAACCCAAAGGCGACAACCGCCTCGCTGAGCAGCCTGACCCATCGAAGCCCTCGCAAGACTAGACGCTACGCACCCGAGATAGACGCATACACCTAGCGGCATAGTCGATTCTCCGTACAACATCTGGCATCCTGTATAATATTGTCTGAATACCACTCAGGAGTTTTCGTTTCAAATCAAGAAGTCCAGGTTACTGAGCACAGTTCAACCACGCATAGCTCCTGCATCATTTTGTCGGCGCGCGCAAAGAAGTTCTACAGTACCGCTAGAATTACTTCCGCTAACGACCTCGCTTGCTTACAATGGCATATCTACATCCACCGCCTCCCGTCTCTTTACCTCAAATCTCACCATCGGATCGACGACCTTGTATACACCCAATTTTAGTGACCCTACCTCATACCCCTCTGCAAGCTGGATGTCGTACTTGAGCAGTATGTGAGCCACGGCGAGTTTCAACTCATTACTCGCAAAGAATCGTCCTGGGCACAGGTGACGACCACCACCAAAGACACTGAAATCTGAGCCGGACTGGACAAATTGACTAGTTTTATCGCCTGCTTCACGCTTGCGCAAAAAGCGATAGCCGTCAAAGCGGTCCGGGTCGGGATAAACGGCGGGATCCCATAGATTTGTAGAGTCAACCATAACGTGCGAGTCAGCAGGTATCCTTTGGCCGCTCGGGAGTATAACGTCTTTCAGGACCACGCGTTCGAGGCCCACTGGGTCGGAGTATATGTTAGCTCTGACATGAAACATAAATGAAGACGATGGAGAACGTACCCAAGGGAGCGGACCGTCGCTGCGACTCTTTCAGGATGCTGTCTAGAAGGACCATGGCAGACGTGGCAGCTACTGATACCCCCTGTGTAGAAATCTGTTGCGATATTTCTTGTCTCAATGGCTCGACGAGCTCAGGATGCTCGGCTAGATCGATCAAGACCTGGCGGAAAAGCTCACTCGTCGTGAACAGTGCAGCCATTGCAAGGGACAACTGGATATCGCCTGCTTCCATTTTTTCACCCGATGCAGTTTGTGTCCATGCAAGTGCGTCGTTATATTGTGGCGGTGATCTACCTTCCAGACTCGCCTTCTCAACTTCTTGTCGCCTGTTCACAAGTACCTCGTTCATGATATCGCGGGCTTGAACGACATACTTGCGACAAGCAGTCGCATTGGCAAGGAATCTTTGCACTATACGTCTCGACCAAGCAGGATATCCATGGAGCTCATTCACAGCAGAGAAGTAAGCGACGACGTAGCCCTGTACGACGTCCAACCACTGCGCATCATCGCTCTTTTCCGGACCAACGAAGACTGAAGACGCGACGCGGGCGATGATACCAGTGGTGTCCTTTTGCCAATCGATCGCATGCCAGACTTTATCGTTTCCCCAGTGAACTTCAAGAGCTTTCACCGCACTCTTGTTCATGATAGGCATCAGACTATCATTCTGACCTAGTTTGGTCTTGATGACATCCATGAGCATGTCGCCAGAATGGAGAAGAGTCAGTCCTTCAAAACCGGGGAAGTCTGAGTAAAAATCTTGCCGCACAAGTTCTCTGTGGTCGAGGTCTTTATTGGATTTCACCCAGCTGGTGAGTGACGACGGAAGTACGATCTTGCGGCCATTGGGAATGGCAAGGGTGATGGGGCCTTGGTGTTTGGCGAGACCTTTAGTGATCAATGTCGCGACATTCGTGCTGTATTCGCGATTTGCCTTGCGACCGAAGGGATCGATGTGGTGGCTATTGACGATGGGGAAGGCCGGTCGACGTCTTGAGCGAAGAACGTATGCGCTAGTCAAAATGATCGCGAACGTCCACGTATGGACACTGAAGATGATTCCTAGAAGCATATCCGTTCGAATACGACAAGACAGCCCAAGTATTTGAAAGAAAAGAGGACTAGGTAATTCGTAAAATCATGCCGGGGACCTTCTAAAGCAACAGGAAGGCTCTCTGGTTGCGCAATATGAAGCAGAATGACTCATTATGAATGCGGAAGCAGTACTTGAGTACGATAGTTGGAACTAAGGGGCGATTCAGGGAGACGGTATCCCTCTTCGACGAAATTCTGGCGATGAGTAACAAAAAAAGATACACATGGCAACCAGCCATGTCACGGAGCAAAAATGATCAAAAACATACAACAGCGGGGATTCGCTAGTGGTCACCCACCTAACTACTAATCCGCCGGTATCCTGCTTGTATATGGCTGAGCGGACGGGAAGCCTAATTCTCAAGATCCTATGGTCGTATGTGCTGATTCTGCTGGCTCAATCAACTTATATCGCGCTTTTTCTGTTCAACGACATCGTTACGTCTGCTTCGAAAGCGCTGCTTCTCGATGAAGTCTACGCGCTTCTCTCGCTTTTTATCATCATCACTTACTAGACCAAGTTCTTACCTAGCCTTGGGGCCATTCAATTGCGGCCGATGTCAGCCGCTGAGCCGTACGGTTTATGGGCATCTCCTCGAAGCATCACTGATCAAAATTAGACTCACCTACGTCTTTTGCTAGATGCTTCTGACACTATTTATCTTACGAAACTCTTATTTGCCCCATAAACTATGACTATCGAAATCCCCAAGGGCTGTTTCTACCATCCACAACGCCGGGATGTTTTGATGGTGGCCGCTGAAGTGCCTGCCAGTGAGAGTCTTCATTATGCAGGTACGCTGCTGATCAGAGCTGTCTATTTCGAACCGCCCCTACAATATTTATTAAGGCCTTGGCCCAGTTGCATCATAGTCATCTTGCAGTGGGACAACTACCTCCTGATAAAAAGCTTCTCGGAATTCCCGTTCATTGAACGTGAACGCAAACGTCTCAAATGTACATGTGATACACCGAAGTACCGCACGTGCATAGTTCGTGGACTCGTACCTGTTCAACTCTCTTGCCAGTCGGTTTGCGATCGAAATTTCCGTCATTTCGTCATCTTCGCCGTTCTCACTAAGATCCTCTGGCTCTCTGAATGATGAGACTGAGGTACCATGAGCCAGCTCGAGAAGCGCAATCCCAAGAGCAAAGACCATCTCGTTTCTTACCAGCCGGCGAGGAGGTATGGTAGTGGGAGCGGTTTGCGAGCCTGACATGAATTTCTGCGAGACATAGAACTGTGAAAGAATCATTTCACTGCTCTGGTTCCTCAAAAAGAAGATATCTTCTGCCCCCCAAGTGCACGAAAGCCATCGAGTGTCATGCAGTTGCAACACCGAAGACGCAAGAGTTAGTGCCAACTCACACTTTTGTCGCGCTGTAATCCTCTTTCCACCACCTACGATTTTCGTACTACCTATGATTTCGCTCAACGGGACCGCTTCTGATATTTCCGCATTTGTCGCAGGGCCAATAACTGAGTAGACATGATGCTTCCAGCCTTCGTCCTCTAATACTCGTAAATGGCGAGGCTGTTGATTGGTAGCTACCAAATCTCGGCACAGGGAATTGATTCTCGTAGCGGGGCTGGGCAAGGGCGGGCGCAGCACTGTGGGTGGTGTAATTATAGACGGCGTAGATAAGGGTGAGGACTTGATTTCGATATCTCTCCAATTCCACGGTGGAGGGAACGTCAACAAGAAAACGAATTTCAATGCGTCTCCTGCTTTGCAGCCTTTCCTAATGTCTAGTCGTAAGTTTGCACGGTGCGGGTGTGCGCAAGCACATAGCGAGAACAATGAGCGGAGGTTGTCGAAATTTCGTTTGGCCTGATCATTAATGAGCTGCCAGTGAGCAGACTGATTCCTTTCACTCTTCTTTCTCTTGATAGGCTCAAGTAAAATGGCTCCATCCGTCAGTTTTGACAGTTTCTCGATGTCGCGATCGATATCAGTAAGCAAGAGTCCATATTTCTCGGCATTGAAACCACACATAATTCTCCACCTGAAGCTTCTGAAGAATCTCTTGCGCGCTCTTTCGTCAACTGTTCCGTCTGGAGCAATCCAGGGTGGCTGATTGTTCTGTCCCAATCGAAGTTTTTGGCACAGGAGCAGAATGCGCTTGTTCAATTTGTTGTTCAGTGATACGTATCGCTGATGATGTTCCCCTAGTCGGGTTTTGAGTGCAGCTTGCAAACTTTTGTCGGACCATGCTTCCGCTTTTTGTTCACTTAGTAGAGCTGACATTTGACCATCAGGAAGATCGAGCGGCCCAAGAAGTTTGTAGCACGTATTGATGTAAATGCCAACGGATACATCAAGCTGAATTAGGCGGTAAGCGCTTATCGCCACAATGTTTATGCCTAGTGTCTGCATACCTGCGTACGATAATCGTCGAACACGATGGCATAGTCCCTCATGTTCTTTAGTGTTCGCATCTGCCTGTGTCAGACTAGCGATATCAAACCCCGGGTTTGACCGACTTACACCATTGCCGTAGTGTTCCAGTGCCGACACGATAAGGGGGATCGCGCCTAAAACGACGCCTGCGATCTCGAGGCCGGCCATGCTATCCTGCTTAGAAAAGTTTCAAAAAGCCAAAGCTGATGAAGGTGTCAAAAGGGATAGGGTCCAAAGGCCCAACGATTCGCTTCGTCTCCCCGCACTTGTGGCGTCCCCCGCATTGCCTTGATGCTACCTAAATTCATTGCCAACTCGTCTCTCCATCCTGAACTCACAATATCACATCTCAGTGTCCCATGTTCTCCTTCCATGAATGCATCAACACCGATACACACCTAGGTAGATACCTAAGTCGCTGATCACCATGCCAGAGCTCCTGTCCTCTGCGCATGCAAATTGCGTTTCCGCATTCGAGTCACTCATCCACACGCTCGATCCACAAAATCGCGAAAATCATGATCAAATTATGCTGGTAGACATCAAGCGGGCAGACATCAAAGAAGAATTTGATAGATACAAAATCTGGGCTGGTAGCGTTGGCGCTACTCAATTGGGAAAACACGATAAGAAATTACTGGAATACCGTTTGCGAGAAGCCTCATTCTTGAAGGACCAGACTTTAAAGTTGCTCTCGACCTTGAGAGACCGCATAGTTACAATTGATAAGATTTGCAGTAAGCCTGGTTCATATGAAGAGCGAGAAGAAGAGTCTGACTCCGAAGAATCTACTTCCTCCAACCGCGGAGTGAACTGCGAAGAAGAAGAAAATGAGTTTGAGGATTCGCCTTGGGAGATCTCTTCCGATTCAAGTAACGATGACGGGTGTTTATCCAAGCATCAGCTGATCCGTGATAAACCTCAAACCTCAAGCGAAGATTCAACCAAGGCTATAACAACATCTGGTCCGAGTGTACGCTATATTCCCATGTCCGTCTCGAGGTCGGTGGAATCTATCAGGTTCACCGTCACCTCCCTCTATCGACTGCCTATCAGTGACCCCGCACCTCTGGATCGAATTGAATACAAGACATCTATCGAGCTAGGTGTTTATCAAAACTCTGATGTCAAATATGTGGAAAGCAAATTTCCTCATATTCAGCAGCGAGTTGCAGCACGACTGGGAAAGATGATAACTCGGCGCCGCCAGATACTTGCATACCGCGAGGCTCACCAGCGGGGCCTTGCTTCCAATATAGTGCAAGCTCAAGCATTTTCCGTGTCGGAAAACTCACGAGCCTCGTCGATCGAAACCCGCAGCAATCAGGCTACGCCAGTGTCCCCAGAACCCGTAAAAACGTTAGTTGCGCCTTCCGCCGTTTCGTCACTATCAACAACAGTGGATCTCCACGCTACAAAAGATCTTCGGATTGAGACATTCTCGCGGCCAAAAGGTGCCGATGGTCGGAAGCTTGAACGATTCGAGTGCCCTTACTGTTTCCAGATCAAAAACATATCCGATGATCGGCAATGGCAAGAGCACATCCTCGAGGATCTTCAACCTTACGTGTGCACGTCCGGCGATTGCGATCTTTATGACCACTTCTTCGACAGCAGAGACGCCTGGTTCAACCATGAAGTACATCACCATCGAACACTATGGTCTTGCAATATGAAAGGTCATCCAAAGTTTGACCTGGAAGAGGAATTCCTGTCACACATGCAGGAGATACATAAACAAAGAATCGAAGGCATGCGATTTAGTCTCGTCAAGAACATGTTCCGCCATCCAACAGAAAGTCTCAAAGGGATGTGCAATTTATGCCACCACGAGTCAGAAGATCTGAAGAGTCATCTCTCTGAACACCTCCAGCACATGGCTCTTTTTGCGCTTCCCCGCATCGATGAGACTGCTCGTAGTGGCCAATCCAGAATTGATGCTGGGTCATCAGTGCATGAAGAGTTCAATCCACTGCTTAGCATGGAGGTCTATTCTAGTGATAGCTCTCAGCACTCGGACGAATTTCCCATGTCGAATCGCATGACTTCGGTCACAAGTGCCACTTCCGTCCACGAGACCGCTGTAAAGGAGCTTACTCGACGCATTTGTGAAGCTATTGACGACACAACAGCTGGGTTTGATAACGAGCCCGATGCGAAGAACGCACATTGTTTCCTACCAAGAACCGATTTGGCGAATATACTTGATCGATATGCTCTGCATCAGTTGATTAAAGAGCTGATTAGTGAACGGGCGGATTCTGGTCCTACTTCTACGGATGAAGAAAGCGACGGCAACGGCGATTTGCATACAAACCCGGACAGAATTGTTCATGCCTACGTACAAAGAGCGATCAGCCATCCTCCAAGGCTAGCTTTGCTTGCGCTGTTTCTCTACGATGGACGCCCATCTCTGCACGCGCTTTTCCTGAAATGGCTCGAGCTGCCCGATTTTCCATCCAACCTTGATCTGCCTTTGAATGATAACACCTTGAGAGCGAACGGATTTCCTGATGATTGTTTTCGGTCTATTCTCAATAACCAAAACATATTCAGGCCGGTCTGGATTCGGGAGAATCTACATCAGGATTTCAGAGACTGGGATCGATTGCCCTACATTGGCAAGCCCAAGCCGATCAAAGATGGTTCTTCTGGTTCTGTGTATAGTGTAAAAATAGCAAAGGGACATTGGGAGATCAATCGTGATGGTCGGTACATACCCGGAAACCCGCACGAGCCGTATCCCGTGGCAATCAAAGTGTTTAGGGAAGTCCCTGGAGGACGCAGTAGAGAAGAAGCTACCGAGGATTTCCGAGTTGAGCGTAAAATTCTGGATCAGATCCGCGTTTCGAAGATCAAGCACGAGATGGTTATGCTGGATTTAGGAAGCATCACTATACTTGACGGAGCGAACCAAAAGGTCAGCCACTCGCTTATGTTCAAACTTGCAACGTTTAGTCTCGCAGAGTTTCTCAAAGACGAACGTCGACATGCAAAATACAGCACAAGGAGCGTTTTGTTCTCGAAGCTAGTTGACATTTCGGAGGCAATGGCATACCTCCATCATCATCTCGATATACTCCATCTTGATATCAAGCCCGATAACATTTTAGTGTTCGAAAAGGGGAGAAGTCGCCAAGACAACGAAGACGGAGCCGGAGATGAATTAGTGTGGAAGCTTAGTGATTTTGGGCTTGCGCGTAACAAGGGTGCCGCGGCGAGATTTGGTCTAGGCGGGCGCAATCTAGGTAATCGCGAATCACTGTCATCAGAGGTCGAGGCAGTGAGGTACGCAGGTCCTTATCAACCGCCCGAAGTTCATAAACGAGAGTCTAGTGGAGTAGGACGACGAAGTGACGTCTGGTCTATGGGATGTGTCGCGTTGATGGTGTTGGCTTTCATGACCAACGGAGTTGCTGAAGTGGAAAACCTCTGGAGTAAACTACCCGTCGATTTTCAACAGCGAGGTGGAAGACAACGACTGTTCTATCACAGAAGTGACTCAAATTTGTGGGAGGAAGGAAAAGCCTTCAGGTACACGTATATGCGAGACTTCGACCCCGACATCGGAGACATTCCCGGCACGAGTGGACCACTACAAGCTGCTGTTCATCCACTCGTCATCTCATGGTCGAACATGTTATACGATTCTTATGCCAATCCTGCAGAGAAGATTCTTGTGGGGGACATACTTGAAGTAATGTTCCGTCACGTCCTTCTCATTAATCGCTCCCAAAGAATGAGAGCAAGTGACCTAGCGGAGAGAATGGGCAATTTGCAAAAGAGATGGAAACTATTCGAGCAAGGCATGGACCATCCGAACAACTCTAGGGAAGGTTCACGCTCGGAAAGCGTAAACAGCCACGAGTCCGCATCGAATGGGATCCCAGAACCTCCAGGGGTGGAAGCCAGTATTCATCCATTGAACCCGTTAGTTGTAGAGACACTACTTCCACACTCAAACCTCTGTCGCGCGATCATAAGCGACGACAACATTACTGTACTCAAAGAGTTGGACAGAGACAACGGCGTGCAGCTGTTGAAGAACAAATGTGGATCCTGCAAGATATACCCTATTCATAAGGCTCTCCGCAACAGGGCCTATAAATCCCTCAAGATACTTGTCGGGAAGTCTGACCCAGCTATCGCCGGACTTGCCTGCCTCGAAAGCGGCGATCAAACTGCAGTCGAGCTAGCAAGCCAAGGTTCCGGTGACAGTAAGGCACTCGAAATATTTCTGGACCATCACGCCATCTTCAGTGTGACAAAAGAGTTTTTCTACGAGCGCAAACGATATCTAGACTATCAGTCAAGAGCATCTCTGAAGGAACTGTGGAAGAGGTCGCAAACATAGTCTGATAGACGAACTCTCTAGGGGGGATGGAGATAGCGATACGTCACTATGGGTCAATGTCGCGTATATGGAAGAGTCAGAATTTCCCTGTTTATTTTTCCATTGTTCGCTTTGGGCTACCATTAGCTTCTAGGCTGTTAGAAAGACAGTATTCGGGAATGACCTTGCGCTGCGCAACACGTCAGTTCCATGTTCCATGATTAGCTAAAGGACATCTCAAGAATATTTACATTAACATTAACACGCATAAAAGCTTCCCCTAAGTCTGCTACGTTCGCGCATTCAACCGTGCAGTTTCAGCAACACTGACACCCAGACCATGTGCTTGCTGCTTCGACGTGTCGTGAGCGAATGCCCGCTGTGCTACGTCTGGAGTGTTCTGTGGTGACTCAAGTTCCCGCGCCTCTGGACTTCCAGGAAGCTCAGCAGGCTTGTTGGCAGATGGCGAGTCAAGCTCAGCTCTTGTCGTGTCTCCTCCCAGTTCCTGACGGCCTGTGTGGTAATGTGGCCATTTCTGTTGCGAGTTTTGGCCGGAATGGTCCCAAGAATATGTCGGAGGTGCTAAGTATAGTCAGCGAAGAGACAATCAAGGTCAGTTATACGAACACACACGTGAGAAACCTGAAGGTGTAGTGGGCGATGCTAGTTCTGCCTTTGGTATCACCAAGGTGTTTGCCGCCTCTGTCTCGGTACTCTTTTTCTTTTGGTTACGCCGCCGACGCCACAAAAAGGATATAATTGCTGCAATGATAATTGAGAAAGCGAGTGAGCCTCCTACAGCACCTCCAATGACCGCACTAGAGGTACCACTGGGACTAGCGGCAGCTGTGATCCTAGACGTGTCACTAGGCGCTGAAGATATACTGCTGGCGGTCGAAAATGCCGTAGGCGCAGGGACAGAGGACGAGAGTGCAACGTTCAGGTCATGAAAGTAGTGATACTGGTCAGGTCGATCCCAAAATGACGGTTCGAGTTCTCCTTCAGGGCATGTCGAATTGTTCATACACGGATCCTCATTGCAGCATCCCCAAAATGTTGGCGCTATGTTACAAGTCCACATGGGTGTGTTACCACCACACGATCCGCCGGGTGATAGATTATACAGCGATGAAGAGCGACCCGCCGGCCGTAGCATGTCACCGAAGCAGCCATGCACGCACGGATCCGACATACAGCACCCGAGAAACTTCGTTCCCGTCTCGCACGCATACCTGATGATGGTTAGAATTATACCTCGTAACACTGTCTAAACTCGCTTCAATAATCAAAGTCATTCCGTTCTGGTGAGTTCTTCGACATACCAAGTACCTCCACTGGGACAAAAGAAGTCTCCTGGCTTAGCTGCTGTATAACTGGGATCTGCCATGGCGGAAAAACTTCCTAAAATGAAAGACTGACAACCTTAAAGAAGTCAAGAATACGGAGAACAATGGAACATGGAATTGGGCTGAGGAATGTAGAAATGCGAAATGCACCTCAGACACCCAGCATACTTAACAGCTTATGATTGCAGCTCCAAGAAAGCCAAGTGCTTGCGGCTTAAGATAACATAATTCCGTTGTTGTTGTAAGGGATCCCGTGATGGTTGTGGCGAAGATGCCTTTATCGATTCCAGTGAAGGGCCCCCAAAAGGCCGGCAATGGGACCCAAAATGGGGTAGTGGCCGCCGTGGCTGCGAGGGTGAAGTTGGGTGAGAAGCTTGAGGAAATCTGTTTATACGCCCTGTGTGACTGGAGTCGGAACAGCGCGCAAGTCGAGCCTATGAAACGTCCCGCGGCTGACGAAAACGGAAGAGCTGGGGCCACTAGGTTAAATTTTGGTGAAGGCTAAACCCCAAGATGCACTGTAGCGAAACTTCCACAGCGCGGTGGTCGTATAAGCTGCTTGGTGAAGTCACCGGTTATGTGTGGGGTCTGCAAATAGCAGCGATGAGTTGTTCACACTAGTTGTGAGCAGAGGTCTGGATACTCGATGGTGTGAGTGCACCAGCTTACTCCGCCAAGAAGATATCCTACCTAAGGGATGCAAGCCATGTCAGGCATGTGTATTTATTGTGCAAGTTTTCATTCGTACGATTTTGTCAAATTGGTACGATATTTACGGTATCAAGACACGCGTAGCTATGCAAGGGCTCCCTTCAACGGCAGACCGTTTGCGTTTATCTCAGTACGTGGGATTTGAGGAAGCGAGCGACGGAATGTAGGATGCGAAAGAGGCTGGGTAAGTTAGCATGCCCAGCCTTACACGCAATTAACAGGCTAGTCGGACGCTCCTACCGATCGATGCAACTGCCGCCAAGGAAATGATGTCGTTAAGCTGTCGCTGACAAGAAGTACACTCGTTACAGGGTTTCTTTGTTTCTTTGTCTGAATTTTACTTAGATTCAGCCGCGTTGTGCGCTTCTCAAGACACAGCCGTCCATCTGCCCTTCGCAGAGTGACCTTGCTGTCGACTGTCTCACACAACTGCTGCGTCATGGCAGCGCGCTACGTCCGCTCCTGCCGATCAGATCACACCTAAGTGACGTGGTTGTCACTATATCTGGATGTCTTGCAGCGCGCACATACGACTCCGAATCTACGGCCAGCTAGCACTGGTCTGAACTACTAGGGGGTCTACCGAAATATTGTGTTTGCCTGAGTACAGATGCGCATTGAGGCGATAGACGGTGGCTGCCCCGATCAGGTAGTTGCCAAAAGCGAAGATGGTAGCAAGGCCACTGACGACAGCAATCTGAACTAGAATCAGCAAACGGAACAAGACGATATCTCTTCGCACTTATCTCTGAGTTACCTTCACATCGGGGCCCCATGGGGATGACGCAGCGGCACGAGCGTATATCAAGATCAAGAGACCGATCAGCAGGTACCATATACTGAATGAGAGCAGCATGATTGGCATTTGCCAAACGTAAAGATGATGGCTCTGGATAGCCTTGTCTCCCCTAAGCAAGGCTTGGAAGACTCGCAGACGCTCTCCGCGAATACGAGACAAAGTCACGTATTGCTGTGTCCCACTGCTAACAGCAATCATGGCTGTGATTAGAGACGCGTATAGTGCAGCTTGAGTCGTCCATGGGGCCGATTCAATTACTGGCCACGAGAAGGCACTGCTTCCAACGCCGGCAAGTAGAACACCCTACGCAATCATGTCAGCCTCCAGACCGATCCAACTTGAGTTACCAGATATCTTACAGTGACATTCACCGATATCAACTCGGCCTTTTTCTCTTCTATCCACTCGGCGCCCGTCGTCTCTTGCAGTGACGCCACGTTCGCGTGCCATGGTAGGAAGCGTCGGAAATGGCTGATTACATCTGCGAACGACACTGTCGGTTTGGCCATCCTGGTAGAATAGTCCGGGTAGGACCGGCTGTGTTGAGTACCTATGTAGAAAGACCTCAGCAACGACACCTTCGTCGCCTAGATATTCAGGCGAGCAAGCAATACATGGTTGCAGCCTCGTCAACGCCTTGCGGATTAGCTTTCCCGTGTTATACCCTGCCATTCGCTGCCTCATACGTATCTGCTGCAGCCGCCACCAGACAAGACGATGCAGCGGTCATCGCCTCGACAGTCGCCGTTGATTGGCTGTATGGGATGCAAGAGAGCACGAGGCTGCACAACTAGGAATAGACAGGAAGGAACTTGACAGCACTGTCGGTCGTGAGGTGGCGTTGCCCGCGATGATCCTCTGGAATAGGTGGGGCAAAACGTTATCACAACGATGCAAAAAGAAGAAAAGCAAAAAGAGAACAAGAAGACCGAAACAAAAAAAGGCAAAAAGATAATGTCAGCGGTGGGATTCGAACCCACGCAGGTTGCCCTATGAGAAACCTCTTGAGAGTGCGTCTTTCGAAGAAGACAAGCTTTCGCTTGAGTCACACGCCATAACCACTGTTGGATGTTAGATGGGAAGTTGTCAAGCGTTGGAAGAAATGCTTACCTCGGCCACGCTGACTGATTTGATGAAAATTTTTGTTTTCAAAATTTATATATTGTGATCATCGGTGTCTGGATCCCAGTGGCAAGTTGGGCTAATCATCACCTTGCTTGCAACATCGTAAGCTCAGCAACGATTGCAACATAGCATGAGTCAGGCTGATTTCCGTTATTAAGAGAATTCAAGCATGACCCTATGAGTGGGCGATACGGCTTATCGGTGAGCTGTCACTGTAAAATCGCCTTAGGTAAAGGACGCTGACACGGAGGATCAACCTACACATGGAGCTATCTCTCTTTAGAAGGCACCATAGGCCTCTATCTATCGCACTAACGAGTCCCAATAGATCCTGATACCCAAATCTGACCGGATCGTAGAGTCCCTTCTTCGTGTTTGACGGTCCTGATTTTTTGCCCTATCTTATTCCACATCGCAAGGGACAACCTGCGACTCATCAACCAGTTGAATTCAATGCATGCATGTGCGAATTCGCATGGAACGGAGATCATCTTGCTCTTGCATCGCACCGTGTACACAGTATCTGTTAGTAGATCTTCTGAACTACCTAGGTATAGGTACGGGTATTAGAGTGCCTGGATGGTCTTTTTCGATAAGCGTTTCGCAACGCAGTGAAAGTGAAAGGTACCTAGGTAATCCAGACACCGTTAGAAGTGCCAAGCTCTTGAGCGATGGAAGCGCACAGATTCTGCCTACATGCACAATCCGATGCGCCAGGTACCGGCCCCGCCAAAGACACACACACATGTAGCGCAATCTAACGGCATCGATGGGGCAACGACGCCGTCGACATAGCTTAGCAGGGTCGTCTTTGCGACTGACGTACCCTCACCGGAGAAGCAGATCGGACTCGGAGCTCGCAAATGCTACAATCCCGGCCAAGACGCTTACTCGCCTATTGCTGAACAATGCTAGGCGCCACCTCCGGGATTATACATTCGCCAATCAAATCACTGCGGAACGGTTTTCCCCCTTTCTACCCAAAGAGTCCGACGATCTGGAAGTTGTAACACTGTTCAACAGGTGGTTAGTTGCGCCGCTTTTGGTCAGCGACCAGGATTTGAAGCAGATATTACCATTTCGCGCAGCCGATCAACTGGAAGATGACCCAATGCAACCGCGTCAGACCTACTGCTACTTCCGATCTTGGTCAATGCAGAAATTGCAACTGGAGTTGATCGTGCACGCAATAGAGGCAGACGGTTATGCGTTTGAGGCCTTCTCAAACTGAAAAGATGCTCTTCATACGACTGCGAGTCACAGTGTTGTAACTGCACGATACGTAGGAAGTACTTCACGAGAAGACCCAGCGAGGCGTGCCAAACACCAGGTACAAAGCGACTTGTGTGAGGGGGTGAACGGGTGATGTTCAGCACCTGGGCAATGTCAATGCCTATCCACCTACTTATCGCTTGCCGTGATACGACTTCGGGACCGAACTACGAGGCAATCGCCTCATCGGCCTCCCCGCATCTCCATACCTGATCGATATCTAATTCCACAAAATTGTAGCAAACGTGAGCTATACAGAAATCTGGTAAAAAATCGAGGTACAATTTAGTGTCATCGCAGCAGCTCTACACAGTCGAGGGCGAAGACGCCAAACTAAAAGCGCTCGGGCGGGCTTTCGCCGGAGCTTCTCAAAATTGGCATTGCGAACATCGGTGATTAGTCTGAGTGAGAGCTTTCTGAACTTCGAACGTCGTCCACTACAAGCTTGATTTCAGCAATCGAACTATCCATCGCAATGGTGAACCTTACCTCGACGCTCTTTGCAGCTTGCTTGCTTGCCAGCCGTCTTGTGGCCGCCTCGGGAGGGAAGAATGAGCACAATACGGAGTACTCTTCCGAGTAATGCCTTATCCAAACTATCTGGAGAGGCTATAAACTGATTCATCACAGCTATTCGGTGTCTACCTCATACAGCAACACAACCTCTATTCTCGACAAGATCCAGGCGCGCGGCTACCTGAGAGTCGGCACAACTGGTGACTACAAGCCGTTCTCGTACAAAGTGACGAACCGAACAGCTCTACCTGCTACACCGGCCATCAACACTACTTACATTGGCGCCGATATCGATGTAGCCCAGTCGCTTTCAAACTCTCTCGGTCTCTCACGTCCGGTTGAGTTCGTTCCTACCATCTGGGCGAACCTCACGACAGATCTTGCAGCACAAAAGTTTGACGTCGCCATGAGTGGCGTTAGCATTACCTTAGCCCGTGCGCAAAAGGCCTTCTTTTCCACTGCGGTTCAGCGAGTGGGCAAGGCTGCGTGTGTGCGATGTGCGGACCTTGACAAGTTCTCATCTCTGGCGGCTATTGATACCGCTGGTGTCAAAGTCGCGGTCAATCCGGGCGGTACGAACGAGGCGTTTGACCGGGCTAACCTTAAGGCGGCTACTATCGTGTTGGTGCCGGACAACAACGCCGTCTACAAAGCTGTCATGGATGGCGACGCAGACGCCATGATCAGTGATATCATTGAAGTGGAATTGCAGGTGCGGTTGCATCCGGAGGTGCTTTGCATCGTTAACCCGAATGCGACTTTTACGTTCGAGGAATTGGGTTATATGGTAGGGCAAGATATTGTATGGAAGCAATACATGGATCTGTTTGTACACATTCAGCTAGGAAGTGGTGGCTGGAACAGTACCCTGGAGAAATGGATGTCCTATAAATGGCCCTCAGTATAGACACATTTGTAAGAGACGGCAGATGTCGTAATGAATGAATGGGGTTCAGACAAGCCGCGAGCCGATTCAAGTTCCATAGAAGCGGGTAAAGAGCTAGAACGCCTGGTCTCAGAATATCGGGAATAGTATGCAATGTAAGCGCTAGTTTCCACCAGCCTACTTCGTACTTAATTCGGGTTGCCTTATTGGCCTGATACAAGCTTCACAGCATCTCTTTCTGTGGCTAGGGCACTGCGACCGTGGGATGAGTCGTCCTACGCGACGCTGCACCTCCTCACCACCCTTCTACTTGTCCGATTGGTTAACTAGGTTATCCACTTACGAGACGTCAACCCCATCTTTGCGTTGGCTGTCGTTCGAACAAAGGCCGCAAATGGCTGTTTCACAGACTCAAGAAGCGACACGAGAATCTTCAGGCACTCTTCTCTCGTATCAATCTTTCAACCAAGACAGCAATTCTACTATACTGTTTATACATGGTGCATTTGTCGACAGTAATGACTGGGATCTTGTCGTGCCCTACGTACTCGATTACCATCTTCTGCTTCCAGACTGCCCTGGACATGGTCGATCTTCACATATACCCTTCTCTATCGAGGCATCGGCAAAGCACATCGCCCATCTGATAGAGGCAAAAGCCATTAGTGGTCAAGCCCATGTTGTTGGTCATAGTCTTGGTGCCTCTATCGCTGTTTGCCTTGCCGCGAACTACCCTCATGTTGTTCGCTCCTTATTCGTCTCTGGATACAGCGCGACCCCCGTTTCCAGTGCTCCATTATTGCCATTCCTGCTCTGGGCTTCGAATCACATGGAAAACGCCATTCCACGACCTTTGGTTCGCTGGCTCATGGATGGAACTGATCTCCGCCATACATCTAGTGCTTCGTTGTCGCTTTGTAGACAGATCGCGCATACTGGCGATGCTAAGGCGCAGCTGCAGCTGTGGTCTGCACGAACTCTTATGATTGTAGCGGGAGAGGGCGGCTTGATCCCTTCCAACGATAGCATAGAGATCGTTCGTCGATTCGTCAGAGTCGGAAACGAGAATAACACTCAAACACTTGCCTACATGCATCCTTTCATGAGACATCCTTGGAATCGGCAAGATCCTTCCCTTTGGGCAACGACCGTTATGGTGTGGGTTGAAGAAAGAGACCTCCCAGTTGGGTTCGTGCCACTGTAGGCGCATGTCGTGTTTGCAGCTTGACTGGAAGGGTGGTCTGACAGTCTTCAGTAACCCTGGTCAAGTTTAGAGAGGGCTAGAGACCAGGAGGGCGTTTCCCAGAGATGCTATATATAGACAACTTTGAATCCGCTGGCGTTTGTCAATATTACCGAAGCGCTGGAGCGCGCAACCGCGTGATGAGTGGTGCAGTGAAGTCTTTCAAACTTCAGCAAAGCATGTACTTCGACACAACTCTCCTCGGATCCCTTGCTGCCATTTCAGTGAGCGCCTCGCCATGCATGTATCTGTCAATGTAAACATCACCCACGTAGCGATACTCGTTGTCACGGTTCCCTGGACGAAGTATGATTGGCGTAGAACAACCAAAGGGTAGAACAACAATGTCCATCGCTGTCATGTATCCTGAACCCATACCGATCAAGCCACCTTCTGTGATACATAGGCTACGTCCCATCATATGATTGCCGAAGTGGTCTTGGAGAAACTTTCGCCGTGCTCCGGGATCAATGAGTCCTTCATGACCGCTGTAACGATTCAGGTCATCGTCCATTGGCAATCGGGGCATCTTTTCATGAATTAGAGTTGCAAAGACGTGGTAAGAAACATCTTGCCACATTCGTGGTTGATTCCATTCTAGCGGTACTTGTCCAAGACACAGTGTCCTGCAGAAGGCTTGGTGCATCGGATGGCTTTCATCGCCCTCTTCGATTTCAAATTCATGTAGCAGCACGGCGCGCCACTGTACAAAGGCTGCTAGGTAATCTTGAGCAACACAGAATGTGCCTACTGCAACACCTGTTGCCGTGAGTGTATCGATTCTGATCGCAGAGATCTCGAGTTTTCGTCGTTCGTCGTGAAACCAGTACTCAGCCTCAGTTGGGCCGTTAGCGTCACTGGAGGCTGCAAAGTTGAGCCTGCGACCCAGACCAGACACGTCCGGGATATGCGACCAGTCAGGACACCAACTGGGAAGTCCTGTGGAGTTGGCGTGTAGAGGAAAGTGTATCGCTTCGCGAATTACGTCAAGATTCTCAGTAGTCGAGATTAGGTGGTCGACGACGTCCGTATAGACCGTCTTGACTGACTGGCTATAATCGACGGGAAAATCGCGCTGTGTAGCGTCCGAAAGCAAACCCAGAATGCCGAAAACCTTGTCGCGTGAATTTTCGCTCAATTTCTTTCTGCATGTCCGCATCACCTCTAATAGTGACTCGTCTCCAAGCTTATTCAGAGTATCGCGGTCCGGAAAACTTGATGGTCCTTGGCGAATGTGTGGGTCGCTGTCTTTGTCCCAGAAGGCATCCGCTGCTCTTCGGTATACCTCCCACGGAAACATTGAGTAACCACAATACACCATTTTATTGTTTGCGAGAAGGACCTCTTGCACAACTGGATCTCAATCAGCAAAACCCATATACAAGTTGGTACCTGACCACTTACCCCACAGGCGCTTCCAGTAATCCCTCTTGAATAAATTTAGCAGCGCTAGAGAATCCAGGTTGCGGGTAGACCTTATGCGCTGCGGGGAAACTGAATTTTCAGCCACTTTCTGAAGTAATTGTAGGGCTAATGCACTGTCCTCGTACTCCGGCCCTATCCAAATGGCCACTGACATAGCACCACTGTAGATCTGACCCATCAACCGGACCTGGGTGGCCCTCTCGTCTTTGTTCTGCTGATCGATACAGAGGGCGTCAACCCACACAAGGATGTTTTCTTTCTTGCGACGCACTGCTCTCAGCGCATCATGTAGACTGACAGCAACAGGAATTGTAGCACCTTCCAGGACGAGCGGTCTCGTATCGACCCCATCACCCCAAGCGTACTTAGTAAGTTCAGTGTTAGCAAGTGCCTTCAGACTACAGTAATGACTTACTGAGATAGCAGTGTACACCGGCTCATTCTCGAGTGATACATGGATAATTTCACACTTCAGCTTCCACATCCTTTCCGGCAGTACCCTAACTAGCCGAATTTGAGAGGGTTGTAGGGGTCGATACTGGTATGTTTTTGGGCCAAGAACTCCAGAGCCAGCTGATGACGGAGACTGCGAAGGCATCTTTGTGGATGCGGTCGAACCTCCTGAGGCTGACCGAGGTCTTTGCATATCATTAATCACCCCTGGACGTGAGTCTCCAAGAGTGGCGAGATCGGATCGAAGACTCGAGTATTCGGTGGTGTATGCCGGGAGAGAAAGGCGTGGAAGCTTTCTATCTGCGTTGGAAATCTCATTGCGGCGCGATATAGACGGCTCGTTGTCGACATCATCTAGCGGAACACGCTCTTGAGGGGTAAACGATGAGTCTCTTATCCTTGAGGGTAAAGCTGCATGAAGGGTATGGTGCATGTCTTCGGGCGTTTGACGAGGTTGTGTACGAATACGATCTCGACTACTCGTGCCCGTGGTACCGTCCCCACGTTTGGAACTGGATCTAGGAAATGAGTCACTGGCTAATGGTGGTGGCGGCGAAGAAAAGTCCGTATTATTCTGGGCTTCTTCAGCAACAGGATCCACTGATGATGCTTTCGTCATGTGATCGCTGTTAAGATGATGTTCGCTGTACTCCATGTTGATGGACCGTTCCCGATTTGGGCGTTCAGCTTGCGTACGGTAGTGCTCACGGTAATCGCCATACGCCGCCCCCCTTGAGCTTTTAGTTGATTTGGGGTGGACTGTACCGTATCGCTCATCCCATGGATCATCATAGCGATGCTCGCCGTAAGTTTTCGGATCCGATCTCTGGCTGTAATCGGCTCTTTCGGTTTCTTTCACGACTAGGAGAATATGGTCATCGTAAGCGCGTCGCAATGGCGCAACCGGTTCCCGAGTCGACCAATCCTCAGTATCAACGTCAGTATCAGTTTCACTGGATGACTCTTCCCTATGGCTGTTGTCATTCTTTAGGCGACGTGAAGAGCTGGCATGGTATCGTTCTCTGTCTCCATCATGCCCATGCCACTCCCTTGGTCTATCATCGGAACGATATCCCCTTTCCGAAAGGTGATGTCCCCGCTCACGGCTACCCAAAGAAACTTCATCCCGCCTTTTGCGAACTCGTGCTCCATTGGCGTCCTGGGGTGTAAGGTGATGGCCATGTGAATAGCGCTTCGACTTGCGCTGGGGACCAGACATCATACGCGAAACAATCGAACTGTGAACCACAAACGTGTTGCGTTGACGGTCTTGTTGCACAGGTTTTGCGCAAAGTCTAGAGTCTAGATCTCAGACGACATGGGAGTTGTGTTTAGATAAAGCGTGAATTGCCCTGGGTTTCGTCCATCAGCCTTGTTTGGCGGCTGAGCTTCAGCTTGCTATCCACTAGCAGGGATTGGATTGACCGGTCTGACAGGTGCATGTCAGGATACAGTTGGGACCAATGAAAGATATTGATCCAGTAGAAAGTTGGTGTAGTGTCGATGAATCTACTGGCGTCAAGGAGGTCTCGGCTACGAGTTGGTAGTGCGTCCTGCTGCGCGACACAAATTGGCTCGTGCCTACGCGATGCTCCCGAGGTCGTAGCCGTGGTTGCGAAGATGGATAGCTTGGCGGAGCAGGAAACCTCGCGCGACTAGGAGCATTCCTTGTGTGCTCTTGCATGATTGGTGTCGCGTAAGTGCCACAGTATATATACTCAGCATAGTTGTTGCGCACCTTTGTGCAGTTATCATCGATCCGCTGACTGCTTGCCTGCCGTCTCGACTGATTCTCTTGCGCCTCGATTATCGACAAGCGATATCAGAGACACATAGATAGGACAAACGTCTACGCTGCACTCCATTGCCCTCACGCTTGCGCTTATATGTTTACACTCTGGTGATGGTTCCTTCTCTCAGCCATGTCTACAAGTGATACGCCAAAATTGAGAAGGAAAACAGTACCCAAAGTATCCAGCTTCTTGCTTACACGCATCCGTCCATGAGACACATCCTTAGAATCGGCAGGTCCTTCGCTCTGAGCTCCGGCCGTTGTAGCGTGGGTCGAGGAAAAAGGTTCCCGAGCCGGATTCATAGCAGTGTACGCACATGCTGCTACAACTATTACATCGTACTTGCAGCTTGTCTGGAAGGATGGTCTGATCGCTCTCCGGCAATGTCCTGATCAAGGCTGGAGCTCCTCTTGGTAGATCGCTTTACTCCTAGCTAGATCTTCATCTCCAAAGCTCAGACTGGAAAGCATCATGTAGGCGTCCTTGGCTTGAAAAAAGAATTTATCCATCTCGCAATTCTTTTTATCGTCCACGTAGACCAACAATAGCCCACCAGGCTTGCTCATCCATTGCTCATGGACTACTACGATGAAGGCTGTTGGCCACCACTCTATATCGGCCGCTGCGCCTCCGTCACTGCGAGGGCGCTTGCCCTTGTCTAAAGCGATGTGCGCCTGAACGACCTCTTGTAGCGTCTTGAATGATGTGATGGATGGCGCGGGCCGTACGAGATGGCTTTCGTTTCCTTGTTCTAGCCACTGCTTTTCGAGCACTTGAACAACACTTTCGAGTGGCACCTTGTCACCAAGAAGTGTGTAGACTGCGAATACTGCGTCGTCCCAATTACAGTCGCCGAATCGGCCAAGCTCGGGCGCTCGAGATGGCAAAGACAGATCGAGTGTCATTATGGTAGACACTAGATTATGGCGCGATGCCCTCAACTTAGGCTTCCTGCTAACGTAAACTATGATTTAGTATTCACAGATGTGTATTGTGCAACTGAGGCAGCAGGTATGAAGAGTGAAATTATGTCTTCGTCAGTTGAAAATCGACATCTGCATTTGTTGGACGCATGAAAGCAAAGCGTTGCTGCTGCACGCAGAATACTCGCGGTATCGAGATTGCTACGACCGACGAAGCGGAGATGAGTGATACCGTTCGCAGTGTTTTATTGAAGGAGCGATAGTGGCGGTATGTGAAATTAGAAGTGAGATTGCATCAGCATATCTACCGATGCTGACTGCGAGAACTCTGAGTCTGCAAGAGCGAAGACAGTCCTGGAGTGAGTCAACAACAGAAGCAGTGAATGTTTCTTGCTGACCTCGGGAGGTCTGACTTGGTTGCAGAGTGGCGATGTGAGACTGTGGTGGCTGGTGGGCAGGCCTCCTGTTCAGGCGGCGATGGCGCGTGGCCACGGCGGATGTGATGGCGGTCGGGTGCTGGGGCTAATGATCTACTCCCAAGGTTAATCACGCAGGTCTCGAAGTCGAGCAGAGTTTCTAGACCGCGCAACGACCAGCTACGTGCCGATCGCACAACTTGAACACAATCTGCAATCACAGTGGATGGCGTCTCTTCACAGACTGTCGCAAATGTTCGACTCGGTAAGGGATGATCTCATAATCACAACAAAAGCATCATCGGATTGTTGAGCAGCAACAAATGTATTTCGGGCCTACAATATACGAAGGCACGTCATCCTTCAATGCTGCACTTGGTCTCTTTGGGCAGCTGCAGTTGTCAAATTCTCATCTAGTGGCCGAGCATCTATTTTTACGACCATGGGGGAATGCACAGCCACGCAGGTACCAGTACCGTTCATGGGGTCATCGGAGTAGGCTACCAAAGTTGCTTGGTGATGGATTACTGTGATTCTCTGTGCACAAGAGCGGCCAGCAGTAGTGAAAAAAAGTCTTTGTGCATGGGGCGACGCCGTGCGCAGTTCTCCAACTCTCCAGCGATGACACGATGGTTGACTTGGCGACGGTCTCGAGCGGGACCGGGGTAGTTTGATAGGCTCGCCTTGCGCAGTAGCATTCCTCAGCTGCCATTAATACGACAGTAGTGGTGTGTTAGCATGTGAGGGCAGCATGCCTCACTGAAAGCAGTGCAGCAAGACAGCCAAGCGATAAGAAGCAACTGCAGTCCCCAGCTGGCGCAAAAGTCCCTGACAACTCCCCAACGTCTAACCCCCCATCCCGTCGTGTTCTCGAACGCGGCCCAACAACCCTCTGTCCTCGATAGCGTCGGATCCAACGACTGCGCCATCGCGGGATTAATCGAGGCTAGCGCCGCGCGTCCCTGCCTGATTGGAGTGAGCCCCCTTGGCTGTCGCCGCACGGTTTCAGAAGAGAGGCAGAATACCGGCTTCAGCGCCTCGTCCTCATTTCAACAACAATCGCTCGCTCGTTCGTCAGTCGTTTCACCTTTGCGTCCCTCGTAACTGCCGACTCGACCCCAACCCTCTTCCCAGGCTCGCCGCTTCCTCCATTAGACCACTCACTGCGACGCTTGCCCTTTGTTTACCGTCTTCATCAGGCACGAGAAAGGTTGACCCTGCGGCCGACTCCCGTTTAATCAATACTTGCTTCTTCGTCTGCGGCACCACCTACGTATACGAACCATCCCCCAACACATCGCTACCACCACCACCACTCGCTATCGAAAGTCGCCTCCCCTCAGGAACGCCCGCGGGCGCAAACATCAACCATGCGACCTCACGCGACGTACTCCGCGATGCTCGCACCCTTCATATTACTGGCATCGGCGCCACTGGGCGTACTGGCCGCCGACATCCTCAAGACTAATGGCTTCAGCTCGTGTCTGGATGGGCAGGGAGATATCAAGGTCAATAAGCTCAACATCGAATTCGACCGCTCTACCAAGAAGGTCACGTTTGACGTATCTGGCACCAACGAGGTCGAGCAGAAGGTCATGGCAACACTCACTGTAAACGCATACGGTCGAGAGTTGTACAACAAAGAGTTCGACCCTTGCTCCGGCGAGTACAAGGTCGACCAGCTATGTCCAGGTATGTACATGCCTGCCTTGCGCCTGCTTCTTTTGTATGCTAACGTACAGCAGTTCCCAAGGGTACCTTTGGTGCACAGGGCGAGCAGAGCATTCCCGATAGCATCATGTCGCAGATCCCCAGCATCGCCTTCAACATACCCGATATCGACAGTCAAGCCAGGTTGCAACTCAAGGCCATAGACGGAGGCAAGGACCTAGCTTGTATCACCTCACAAGTCAGCAATGGACAGTCGCTGTCAACTGCCGGGGTGCAATACATTGCCGCTGGAATTGCTGGAGCGGCCTTGGCTGTTACTGGACTGGCTTCGCTCGCCGGTGCTGGACACGCTGGTGCGGCACAGTCCAGTCCTACCTTTGGCGACGTTATCGGATGGTTCCAGGCCATGGCTTTGAACGGCATGATGAGCGCCGACGTTCCCGGTGTATACCGAAGCTGGTCCCAGAACTTTGCCTTCAGTACCGGTCTTATCTACTGGGAGGGCATGCAGCACTCCATCGACAACTTCCGTGCGAGCACTGGCGGCAATCTTACGCAGAGCAGCGTCGAATTCCTCAAGAATGCTACCCTCGTACACGTGGACCAGAACTCGACCTTGACCAAGCGCAGCTTCGACCTTCTGTTTTCTCGCGATGTTCTGTTTGCTCGCGACGAACTGAACACGGACATCAACGGCAACGGTACTGCCGAGGAGGGTGGCGACAACAAGGTCATCGTCTACGCAAAGGACATGCAGGGCTTTATCCAAGAGTACACAATTCCTGACCGTAACGCCTTCATGACTGTTTTGCTCATCTTCGCCATCATCGTCGCCGCCATTACCGTTGGTATCCTTCTCCTGAAGGTCATCCTGGAAACCTGGGCCCTGTTCGGCAGCTTCCCGAAGCGCCTGACCAGCTTCCGTAAGCGATACTGGTGGACTCTGGCTAAGACTATCACCAACTTGATCCTTCTACTATACGGTATTTGGGTTCTCTACTGTGTCTACCAGTTCAAGAACGGAGACTCATGGGCTGTAAAGACACTTGCTGGTGTAACCCTAGCGGCATTCACTGGAGTCCTGGCTTTCTTCACCTGGAAGATCTGGAGCACCGCCGACAAGTTCAAGAAGATGGAGGGCAAGCCTGACGCTCTTTACGAGGACAAGGAGATCTGGCGCAAGTACAGCATGTTCTACGAGAACTACAAGAAGAGCTACTGGTGGATCTTTGTCCCCGCTATTGTCTTCCTGTTTGCTCGTGGCTGTGTTATCGCTGGAGCAGACGGCCACGGTCTCGCACAGGCTGCCGGTCAACTCATCGTTGAATCCCTTCTCCTTATCATGCTTCTCTGGGCACGCCCATACACCCTCAAGTCCAGTACCTGGATCAACATTACCATCTCGGTCGTTCGTGTCTTGTCTGTTGTCTGCATCTTGGTCTTCGTCGAAGAATTGGGTATGAGCCAAACAACCAAGACCGTCACCGGTCTTGTGCTTGTTGTCGTGCAAGCTTCGCTCACTGGTGTTCTTGCTATTCTCATCGCCGTCAACGCCATCATTATCTGCTGCAAGGAGAACCCTCACCGCAAGAAGAGAAAGGCAGCTGGTAAGTTTAACCTTCCCCTTAGACCCCAACATTATCTAACAAACCCTCCAGAGAAAGCCCGCGATCTCGACAACCTTACCCCTCTCGATGCACGCAACTCGCTTCTCATGGACCCCCAAGAGTACAAGCGCACCTCGCTTCCTTCACCATTCGGTCCCCGCACCGCCGGCTATGACCGCGTTCCTCTCGCCGACCAAAACACTGCCTACAATGGTCCTGGTGGTCGCTCTTTCGGAGATGACCAAGGACATCTTCTTGCCGATGCTTCCACTTTCGGCCGCACAGCAACGCATGAGCGAAGCATAAGCCGTGACAGCAGCCCAGGACCCGACCCGGGCGCTGGCTACCACCAACCACCCGGCTACGTCTCCAACGCCCCATGGCAACCTCAACAACCACGAGGTAACAATGGTGGCTATGCGTACTAGAGCCAACAAACTCTTGAAGTCTTCTGAAAGCGAAGACTCGGAGTGGTGAAACATCTCACCATCAGGCATTATCTCTTTTTGTTATATTCCCTATCTGTATCGCGGTGGTTGTATTGACATATCCTAGAGCGGTCAAGCCACATCTAAAGTCATCTCTCTTGCATACGGGCTGGGCCATATCTGCTCACAATGCCCGTGATTTTTACGAATCTTTCTTTGTGTTTATCTTTAGTATTTGGTGTAAAGAAAGATCTGATACAAGCTCTTGTAATCTCATGCAAGCGGTAAGCCTGGGGCTCGCGCACACACATACACAACTATCTTTTCTGCTATCGTCAAGTGGGGTGAAGGAGAAGGACGGGAAAGGAACTGCCAGGAACGGAGTGCGGAGTTGGAAATGGGATGTGAAATAAGATGTAGAGAAGATGTGAATACCAATACTTAACTATTACATATGCAGCTCTATCTACTTCTTTGTGACATCTGCCCAGAGAATGCCACATCTTGAGTCGAGGTCTCGCTGGGCTCGGCAGTGGTAATGCCATTGCCCAGAGCAGGGAGCACGGTACGTGCGGTTTTAGCTTTCGCCGATAAGCTCCTCGCTGCAGAAAGCTGCAAGCTGAACACTTCCGCCGCACCGCCGTCCCGAAATGTTGGGACGACTGCGCATGCGCCACCCCTGAATCAATACATTCTAGCGACATATTGCATGGGCAGAACGCTTGAACAGAGACCGAGGTTTCCCACAGCGAAGCCGTCCACGAGTCTAGGCAGTCTTATATCTGCAGATCGCCCGATGCTGTTTTATTCCCAGAGCCATGTCCCACCCAAGAGATGCGCTTTTTCCGCCGAACGCCTCCGGTTAAGTCGATCTCCCGAGGATTTGCTTTGGCTCGTCCCCTTGTGGCGCGTCCGCCAGGGCTTGGGCCGCTTGTACCTGCGTCACGACTACACTATTCTGGGCGGCACGGTAGCAATCTAGCCGGCTACCAAGAGCCGATTTATCTCTAGGACCGCTCTTTTCGATATGCTAACGTGCATGGTGCAGGTGTAGCGCGGGATGATGTGGACTATAGATTATATCGTTATCTCGGGACTGGGAGTTTCCTCTGACGAGGCTTGCTGTTTTGACGTTTGACGGCGCTCGAAGCTAGCCTGCGCAGGTACTATTTGGGGAGAAGGGGATACGCTTTCAGGTACCTAGGTATTCGCTTTCCTCTTTCTTCATATCTCCGTTCCGGGTTTTTGGGTCGGGTGCACGATAGACCGCTTGCTAATTCCCCGTTCGTCGTCAAGTCGCAAAGGCGTTTTTGTGGCTTGCGTTACGACTCGCTTTCGTTTCTCTCCTAAAAGCTTTGGGATTTTTTTTCTTGGTGGGCCAAGCTGTTTAGAAGAGAAGGAAATTTCGTACAAGGTACTATTATTGCGCTGTCTTCCCGATCGCGTCTTGTTCTTTACGTTGCCCACGCGCATCAGCAACGAGAGAAGAGTGACCCCGTGTGGTGACGACCAATAGCGCAACGACAGAATATTCGACACCAAATTCGTTCGCGACCCATTCTAATATCGTTGGTAGCGAGTACTCTGGTACAAATCCCAAAAAAGTCAAATTCCTACATATCTACGCTCCAAAGCATTCCAACACACCGACCTCACCACAAATATGCGACGAACCGCACTCTTTTCCGCCGCGACGGCACTACTCACTAGTACCACAACCGCACAAGCCACAGCATCAACATCGTCAAAACGTGGTCTCTGCTACGTGCCCTCCGAAGACCATCCCGACGACGATAAGATATGGACAACCGGTCCATCACCACCGACATGGTACTACAATTACCAGAAGGACCCATCGCCAGCCTACGCCAATGACCCAGACATGCAATTCGTTCCCATGCTCTGGGGGGCCAGCGATAGCGACACTGGAACCCCCTTCCTCGACTCAGTCAAGAAGCAAATCGCCGACGGACACAACATAAGCTACGTCCTTGGCTTCAACGAGCCCGATGGTGGCCACAGCACTGGTGGTTCCAACCTCGCCGTCACCACAGCAGCCGCTCGCTGGAAAGCCGAGATTGAGCCACTGAAAGAACTCGGCATTAAACTGGGTGCGCCTGCTGTTACTGGCGCAGAGTCTGGTTGGCAGTGGTTGGAAAACTTCTTCAACGAGTGTGATGGCGGTTGCAATCCTGATTTTATCCCAGTACATTGGTACGGAAACTTCGAGGGCATGATGAGCCATGTTGGACAGGTTACGAACAAATGGCCGAATTTGACAGTCTGGGTTACCGAGTATGGTTACCCGAATCAGCCGCTCGAGGCGACGCAGACTTTCTACAATCAGAGTGCTCAGAGCTTTGATAGCTGGCCGTAAGTACTGCTTCTATTTGCTTCCTACGAGAAGGGCATACAGACTAACACTATGATCAGCAACGTCACACACTACTCCTACTTCGGCGCCTTCCGCTCTGATGTCAGCAACGTGGGCGCCAACGCCGCTATGCTTACCCAGGACGGCAAATTGACGGATATTGGATCCTGGTATATGGGTGGCGCTGAGACGAACAATGTGCCAAAGGCTTCTGGTGCTTCCATGGTGGGAGCTGCGCCGAGTGCTTTAGTGTTGAGTCTGGTGGCTGTGGTTGGGGTTTACCTTGCTTAGGGCTTCGAAGTTCTATGGCCCTGCGGAATTGGCCTGTAGGTTGTCGTGTGCTGGCGGGTCAGGATGCTGCGATTACGCTTACAACCAGCCGTGTACCCTTAGAACTCTAGAAATCTGGCTGGGCATCAATACACGGGATACGTTGGATTTATCGGATCTATTTCTTGAGTCAATCATGATGTCGCCTTTGCTTCGACTATTGTACACGAACTCTAGAAGGCTATACTAATTTTGCCTGAGAGCCGTCACGAATCTGCGCCTCCCTATCTGAGACATTATCTGCACGTAATGCCTGCGTGTTCCGTCAAAAGTCTGGTCGGGCTGCATCCTGATGCGCAAAAACCGAAATCGTGCAGCCTCAAGTGTCGACAGTTACTGTTAGAACAATGATCATTTCTCATTATCGTACCAATTGTAGGCGAAGCAATCAAGGGAGCGTGTACTACGTTGCGAGTGCTAACCGCATTCGATAGTAGTGACACCTCACCGCTAGTGACATCAAGAAGTTATCACCCTCGAAGAGTCCCTCAGAAGGTCATCAGGCTGAATACCGGTGAGTAGCAGCATACGCAAGTAATCAAGGCTAAGCTGGGTGGTCAGACTTCTTTTTTCCCAGCTTCCGGATATGACGGGGCTGTACACCCCTTCGAGGCAAATCACAAGGCTCTTGACGTCTTTCATGCATGTTGTAAGGCGAATCCCCAGCGCAGACCGATGATGCAACCCCACATCCGGCCGCGGGGCTCTTCCTGTCATAGCAAGCATTGTAACGATTGGACGCCAATAGGGCTCTTGGATCAGTTTTGAAGGACCGTTAGTGTCTTAATAGCGGGCAGATCCCAGATCGCTGGACTTGACTCGCGTAACCATGGCACGACAATCGTCGGATGCCAATTCTATGCAGCCATCCAGTCATCTAGTTCCTCGCCAAGACGTACAAAGTAGCGAACCTTCGCGACCGCAACCACCGCGCAGTGGTATCAACAGAGACAGAGCGAAGATAAAACTAAAGAAATTAACGTTTTACGACGAAGATGGTGAAAGTCCTCTGTACAGCGCGGATGACATGCCTTATGATCCCAGTCATGAAAAGATTGGGGAAGGAGCTTACGCAAAAGTCTACAAGACCACGATCAAAGGAGATTCTTACGATGCCGGCCAAGGATTCATATCAACTGTAAGCGGTTTCACTGCGGTGGGATTTATATGTCTGACACGTTGTAGGAATATCAAGTTGCACGCAAAGAGTTTTCGGGATTACGGGCGAGAGACAACTTCCTAATTGAGAATGAGATCTGTCGGGACTTTTACAAACCAAATTCAGGGATCAACAAGACGATTGTGGCCCCTTTGTTCAGTTATGCCATTAAAGACTCTAAAGGCGGTGTCAACTATAACATCTGCTATGAGCTTGCGATTTGCGATCTGCAGACTTATCTATCGAATAATAACAACTTTCCCGGGGGAAAATCACGTAAGAGGATCGCACACATCGAACAAATGGTGAGAGTTGCCGAAGGATTGAGATGGCTGATGAAAACAACTACGAAAGAGAGCGGATTATTCAGAGCTCTGGGGATTACACATTGCGATCTGCACTGGAGAAATATCCTACTATGTGAGGATGAGAGCCATCCCGGCAGTCTAATCTTCAAGATAGGGGACTTTGGAAGTGCAAGAAATGGACGAGACTCCGAGAACAAGCAGAGATCAGGAGTTGCCTGGGCTGAACGCATTAATGGCCAGTTCTCCGCTCCTGAACCCGAGGCTCATGAGAATGGTGACGTATGGTCTTTCGGATGCAATTTGTTGCTCGTTCTGGTATTCAATTACTACGGAGTCGGAGGCAAAAACGAATTCCTGGCAAGTCTACTACGACATTCGAGTCAAGACTGGTTTTACGATCGAACCACTGGCGCAGCGAGCCACGAAACTACCAGCTGTATGGATCATCTTCGCCGGTGTTTCGAGCATGATGTTGACGGACTCGTCACCGTGGAACTACTCGATGTACTGCAGCAGAGTGTATTAGTGCCTTTGAAAGCAAGAATGAGTATATCACAAGTTGTCAAAGCTCTTCGGGCCTGTTTGGAGAAGCAGAAGATGGTCGTGCCAAAAGTTGTGGTTCAACGAGACAATAGGCATTACGAATATTGCTTTCATGCTCCTCGGGGGAGATTTGAGATGTTTCGTAAAGGCGGTGATGAATACACCATGAGCGTTTGGACCTGGAACCACGGAACGGCCTCAGAACTACCGTTTCTAGAGCCTATCACTGAACCTCTACAAGGACGGAACATGCCTCGACAGGACCGCATCTACCCGTGCTCTTCTTGCTGCGGAGAAGAGCATATCTGCCAAGTCGTCGCGATACACAACACACTCGAGGTTCGTCAGTCAAATACCTGGATATCGTTGGAGTACTGATCACCTAGCAGCTGCTCTTATATGAATTGCCACAAAATGCTGGTGATCCTATCGCAAGAGAGTACATCAGTTTGACTGACCTTAAGGACGTTTCGCGAGTAGCTCTAGCGCCAAACGCCAAGTACATTGCCATTGATGCTGACTGCACATTACGGCTCTACGAAAGGCAGCAGCTACTAGATTCCATGAAGCTGTAGGTATCTGTTATGCCTGGCTATAATACAAGGTCATGTCACTATGTTACTGACTGCATATAAGGACTGAAAAGCTTTCCAGAAATCGTACAATACCGTACGGACTGTCTCAACTTGGTGTCAGTGGTTGCGAGTTTGATCTCTTACCAAGTGCTGCAAGGTTCAGAAGCTGTGCCGAGCAATCGGTGGTACTCAGATTCTCGCCCAACAATCAGTTCCTGTACCATGCATATCGGACGGAGTCTTCAAAACACAGGGGTAGCTATGACTGCCTGATCACAGTCGATCTATGGTGCACCACAAAGCGATCATACTTAGGCTCAGTCGCGGTAGAGAAACAGGTTAGTCCATGCATTCCCATATCCTAGCTGAGTCGGGAAGCCATTTTTTAACATTTTCTCAATCAGGACGTCCAGACACCGGATTTTCTTATCGACCTAGCACCATTCAATGATCGGCAAGCATTTTTGGTTGTTACGTGCTACAGTCATCTCACTCGTTATACCTTTGGTGAGAATGAGGCGCGGTGTCGTCTACATACCATCAATATCGAGGATAACATCCAAGCCGTCTTGATCTCTCCAGATGATGACTACGCAGTGCTTCTTGGTCAGAAGAATAACTTGAGTGTACACGTAGTTAATCTTCAACAGGGTCTGGGCGAGCCCAAGCAGCTTGGTTTGTTGGAGTCGTCTATTCCTAGAGACGTGTTTGACCGGCATCGTGATGCAGCGAGCATCGTGGATCGTGAGACTTTGTTGATCAGTTACCACAATGGGCCCTCAGTACATATCACTCTGACGCTTGCTTTGGACATTTACCTCGAACGTAAAGGGCATGAGAGTAAGCCGATTCAAATGTGTCCCACGATTGTAACAACAATGTTGGCTGACCCGATAGTCCAGCAAGATGCTAAGAAGGAGCAGAGATATCGGAAGCTTGAGCAACGTAATGGAGCCCATGGCTCGTGTTCAACGCAGCCTGAATTGCTGCATAAGATTTGATAAACCTCAATCAGCGATAGGAAAGTGTAGCATAACTTGATTATCATTAGAACTCGGCATATCTGCCAGTGCGCGCACCGCACATCTTGGTAACTAGTCGCTCCGTAATTTCACTGTCCGAACTATGCATCCCAGCTTTTTGATCAGCTGTAACATGATGGAACTTCCGGGTACTGATGTAAGCGCATGCGAACGTGATCGCCTGTTCAATTAGCCAATGGAGAATATGAAGCAAGGATGCCGGCTTACCATAACCGCACTGCTGAGGATCTGCAGTGTGGTGGGGTGGTCACAGTACCTTGCATATTGACCACCAATGAGAATGAGAAAATAGGAAATAAGCGCGATATGAGCGCAAGGTAGCGTGTACTGGTCGTTTTCGTGGTTTGGTAAAGTAGACTCTAGCATGCCGGCGCGAACATAAACTTTAGGGTGCTTGCGTATACTTGCATAATCATTAGATACATTATCTCTAAGAATGAAGTGTTCAACTTACGACTTGGCGAAGCCCACGTTGACGATAGCTTGCACCATACACAGTATCAACGTACCAGAACATAAGAAGTCCTGTACGAACAGAAGAATCTAGAAAGTGTCAGTGGGTGCTGAGCATCTCACTCAAGCATACTCACGTCGACTAAAGCGCTCGGATAAAAGCGTACAACCAATATAAGCGTGATTGGCAACAGCATCAAAGACATGACCGACGGCAAGGGCTCATAAGATTTACTCTTTGAAGAAAGCAATGACCAAAGGTAGCCAAGCCTGATGCTTCCGTTGTTAGAATGACTGGTGCCATCGGTTCGTCCCGAGCATTGCACTGCCATCCAATACAGTTTCCTTGATGCAGCGTGGAGAACAAATCCCTCTGTCATAACACTAAGGACTATAAGCAGAATCTTCATCCAAAACGCTAGACTCTCCGATGCTGCTTCTGAGCTGGTGATGAGAATCGAATTGGTAATGTCCAGACGTCCATCATAGTGAGGTTGAGAGCTGTCCGCGCTTCGTAAAGCCTCACCCGTAACAATGACAGTAACAGCATATAGCATCAAAGCTATACAGAAAGCGATCATCGTAGGAATTGTCAAGCGATCCTTGTGTGTATGCAGCGGCTGTTGGGCAGACTATGGGAGATTAGTACTTATCTAGATAGCGTGGCCCTGTACTTACGGATCCTTCATCAGACTCGCGTAGGCCTGGTGACTCGACGGTCATTTCCGGAGCAACCGAAGACAGAGCATCAAGGCCAAAACAGATGCGACTAAGCATATAAATCGCATACATTGTTCCGGTAATGTATTTGTGTACAAGACCTCCGGAGAAGGTTGCGTTCTCTCGTAACGCAAACCTCGATTGCGAATGTGCAATAGACTCGTTAACGTAGACCATTATGATCAGAATGGCAGAGGCAACCAGGAGCCTGACTGCCACGAGCCAGCCTAGTGAGTGTTTGAGCCACTCATTTGGGATCAAAGCGAAAAGTACGGGAACCGCAGACGTGGTAATGTGAGTGAAGCTGTCGCCAGTTCTGCCTAGTCCAAGAGCATTTACAAGTGTGGTTCTTTGTACAGTCATACCAGCATACCAGCAGCTATACATAAAGCAGGGAAGCCAACCTATGACAACTCCAAGCCAAGGGTCGACGTAGTTTTGCGTGAAGATTGCGGTGTTGGATTGGATTGGCCAAAGACGGAGCATCTGGATGTGATTTCGGATGATTGCCAATGTGAGAAGTACCGAAACGGACAGAGCCAGCAGCGTACGGCCTGTTCCTGTGCTTTCCACTACCTGGCTAACGATGGCAAAGAGGTCCGGTCCAACCATAACATGGCATAGGAAGCTGAAGACATGACTTTGAATGAACACGCACGGAAACCCGATTATCTTCTTCGCGTCACGAGTTGCGCTTTTTTCGAGGAGGGGTGTGGTTTCTTGGCTGGCGCTTTGTGACTCTTCCTCAAGTGGGGGTGATATTTCGAGGTTATCACTCATGTCCGTCGTCGAGACGACGGTTGATAGTGGGGAGGTCGGGAGTGTTTGGTGAGCCACGGACTGGTGGCGTGTTCGGTCGCTTCGAAGCGAGGGAATGCTGTATTCTGAGAAGCGGATACTAAGCGATCGTGGTAAGCTGTGGTCGTTTGGGACTACACGAACTGTTCTGCACGCAATGATTGCGTGATCACTGCATTGAGAAAAGAGCGGACGGGTTGTGATTTCAAACAACCAGGTGAGTGCAGGAAGTACATGCAAGGAAACGAATGTGGGTTCGGAGTAATGGCATGAAACGATAGTGCATGGGACGCCCCAGGTAATGGGGAAGGCACGCGCGGAGACGCAGGTCGACCGAAGCTTTTCATACAACATCCGGGTTAGTGGCGCGCGTCACCATCGGCACTCAGGGGCGTCGCCGAAAGATCCGACAGAATCCCAGCACGACCGTGATACTTGTGCGGCGCATGCGGTCTGTATAGCTACGCAAGATGTCATCTAGAGCTTGAACATCAGCAGGTTATCGCAGGGGAATAGCATACTCGTTTGTTTGCAGATCGTGTTGAGTCGTTACCGGACTCGCTCCATTTTGGCGCATGGGCGCAGGCCCCTGTGGCCAGCCGTTGACGGGTGGCACCCTGACACGCGACCACGTGAAGTCGCGAAGGACCACCGGGCAGACCACACGCAGGAACGAACTCACGAAGGAACGCTTCAGGCGATATTACGGCTGGACAACGCAGTGTCCTGTATTATGAAGACTGCTCAGCGTATCGCACTCCCACTGTGGCTCGTCTAACCTGGCCTGTAAATGAGATCGTGCTGGTCAATGCAACGTTTGCTCAGGCATTCTATTTCTGTTCGAACTTTAATGCTAGCGTGGTGTCCAGGTCCGAGATTGAGAAGATTGTCATCGTTGAGACCCTCGTCATTGTTATGCATTCGACTTCGGGTATTTTCCATGGAACATCCACTCACAACACTAGTCGATGCACAGATGAAGTGGGAAAGGGTTCCATACGATAATTCATTTTGGCTCACACGTACGATCTCACCGTAGATGCGCTAAAGATGCGGGTGGCCGTTGAGCCACAAAAAGCAATTTATCGCTCGCTTGGTCTTGACATGGTCTATATGGTGAGTCACGACCGCACTTATGCGCTTGACTTAGCCAGATCCTGAATTGTCCTCGATCGCACAGCACGACCGAGACTCCACCTCCAATACCCAAGTGTCAATAACGTTAGTGGTATAGCTAATCCAAAGAACAGCCACACGTATGGTGAGGAGGTCCAATGCACTCCAGCATCGTCTCTTGAGGCAAAGAATCCCATACCGAAAAACGTCTGGCAGGTGTTCAGTAAAGTAGATGTAGGCGCGGATATCGTTTACCTACAGCGACGAAAGTAGACGGAAGGTAAACAAGCGTTACAAGTGTGATGACTCTCATTGATGTGCCATCCTCGACCGCTGATTTGTTGAGTACCAGCATCTGATCTGACACCTTTTCTGTGGTGTGCTGGCTCTTCAAATCAATAGTATCCGACACCTAATTGATGAGCTATCAGATTCTTGACGAGTGTGCTGAGAACTTACAAGCTGAGTAGTGCTTCGTATCTTTCCTAGCACGAACGCCACGTTGGCGTTGTATGCCTCAAGCCGCCGACGTAAGTTGCCAAGAGTTTCCCTCATCTTCGAGCATGCCTCTTCGGAGACTTGACTTCGATGGAAGAATCGCTCGTTAAGAGTTTCCAGCTGGCCAACGAGTTCCAGTTGGGCATCGAAAATAGGAGGTAGTGTTGCAAGTCTTGTCTCGATGTAGTGAAGGTCTGAGATGTCTTTGTAAGCATCTTGGAACGGCAAGGTGCTTTCAAAATCGACGGTGAACGCAAGGTTTGCCTGCGCCGATTAGCCAAGATATCTTAAATGAATGTGGTAGTCTTACTAGCTCCCAAACATTGTCTTCAAAATGGCTGACACACAACCTCCAGTTGTGTATGCGTGCCTGTATAAGAGACATATGAAGTGATAGCGGATGATATGCTGTCTGCTCCATATTGTAAGTCGAACTCACCTCGTTCACTAGATCTCTTTCGGTGCTGGAGTCGGCAGTGGGAAAGAGAATGATCCATGTATTCTGCATAACACGTGGGTCGTAGCGGTGGTAGACACCAATCTGCCGTACTGACCAATCTGCCTTTTCTTCGGCAGAGTTCCTTGTCTCGGTATACTTGAGAAGATAGGTCAATTCTACCATGTATCAGAAACACCTTCCGCAAAGTGACGAACAAGATAATGCCTAGATGACGTAGAACTTACCTGTGAAGTTCTTTGAATCTGAGACCCACACACTATCTGAGAAGGCTTCTTCCAGCCGATTCGTGTGTCGTCGAAAAGAAAAGATAACTGGTAAGATCTCAGGGGTAACACTGTGTTGTGCAAGTATCTCCTGCAGCATTTCCTTCGGTATGTCAAAAGGTGCCCAAGAGTAAGCTTTGGACATAGCTCTAGATATGATCAGTAACACATTATTGGCTCGTCGGATAAACACACATTATTCTTGTGGTACGCTCTTCACGGGGGCGGATCAGGTGACCTTTGAGTAACGCGATATCTGATACTACAGTTTTCTGGACATGCTTCAGTCCTGAGGCAAGATCTGTTGGAGTCTTCGATTAACATCATCAAGTTCACAGGTACTGAAATTACCAACCTGGGTCTCTTGCCCACATGAAATCCCATATCTTGACCAACGGGTGATTTGTTGGGCATGCAAGACTGGGTAGTGTTTCAAATACAGCTAATTCCATGTTGGCAATCCAATCCGAGTGATTGAACGTTCATCATTCAAATTACAAGAGAAGAATTAGATGCGGTTGTGAAGTACAAAGATTCCTGTGAGATTGACAAGCGCAGGAGATACTGGGGGGAAATTCCGACTTTATCGATTTGCCAAGGTTCAGCCTTGCATGACCTCAACAAGGCAAGTGCATTATGCGGTTGCAGTGCCTATTCCATATGCCTAGCTCCAAGTTAAACGTGGGTCTCAGCGGGTCTGGTCTCATAATGTCAGCATATTTCTAGTACCATAGCCGTTGATAATATCACTGACAATAGCTCCTCCGCTGTGAGTTTTCCTGGGGCCTTATACGACCAAAGATCTCCTTTGCGCTAGAGAAAAACGTACAGTGTCAGCTGAAGACAGTCTTGTCTTGGAGGTATACTTACTGTAATCTCGAAGTCCGCTTTGCTGATGCCCTTGTGCTTCTTGTGGAGCACGTCATAGAGCGCGTCATCCGATTTGATATACTTGCCAGCAGTGTACCTTTTCATTTCTTGTACGATAATAGAGAGCAGCTGGATATATCACGAATCTGTTGTGTTAGGTGATGCAGTATCGAGGCGCAGCTGAGAAAGCCTGGGAGATTTATCTTTCCTAATGAACCCATGCCATTAGTCAATAGAGCTCGAAGGAAATGCTATCTTCAGCCTCACGAGTGAGCTGCAGTGAAGTATGCAACCTCTACGATATGCGGTTTATTAAATGTGGGGCAGAAGCCAGCACATCAAGTCCAATGGGCTCTATGTGAAAGATGGTGTAGGGACTGCATCAACTTGTACGTCGCACGGCAGTAGGCAACCTTGCAGTCCTTGGAGGGTGATCTGCCTTCGGGAGAGCCTTGTAAAGACGATTGGAACTCTATGTCTAGAGGCTTGCAGAGATATGTCCACAGGTTAGGCTGAGGCTCAAAATCTGAGGCTCGAGTTCTGCTATCTACACTAGGTAGGCTTTTGTCTAGATAGCATGTACTATGTTCTTAGTTTTCCGCCCAGTCTGGATCGAACTGACGTCTTGGATACACTGACAGTCGGAGAGTGGCTGTGATATGTTGTCAGGCATGAATCCCGGGATTCTTTTCAAGTTGGTGGGATGTCTTTGTGGCTGTCATCATGGCCTCTCGTATTCCCCGCACCGCGTGCGGGGCAGAAGACCTACGTCATCTTCCATCTCTTCCAAACGTCCAAAACTCTGCAAGTATGGGAGATCTTGTTTTGTTCGTAACGCGATAGTAATGCGAAAGTGATCGCAGGGTGGGACGTCCGAGTGTGGAGTAATTGCGGCTGATTAACGGCGAGTCAGTGACGCTATACTTCGGCTCGTATGTACACATCGTCACCAAACATCACCAAACTCTGTCCGATCATTCCAGGAAACACCTAATTTTGGTTCTGTGAGATGTTGCTACTCTAGCTTTCTACAACCCGCTGATGCCAAGTTTCCTTGGTGGTATCCTCCATTCTGCCATCCCTTCAACGTGTTTAGGCGACACGCGCAGTGACAGGGATGACGACGTGACCCTCAGCGGGAACATCGCCCTGTCCGTACACGACCTGCTTGGTGGGCTTCTCGATGGTTTGCTGAATCTTCAGAGCTACGGAAATTGTTAGTTCTATCCCTCGTGTGCATACGCGCGACGGTTCAAAGAATACTTACTGCCGTCTGTTTGGGGCTCAACCGAGAAGGTATCTGGGTCGCATACAACGTTGAACTGCATGCCCTTCTGAGACCAGTTGCACTTGGACTCAAGACCCTTGGGGTATTCTTCAGAAACGAAGACTGCGGTAAGGTGATAGGCTACGACCTGCTGGCTGATGTCCCTGTAGGAGCGGGTGACGTTCCAAGCGGCCTCGATGGGGTTGCTGGCGCTGACGGAAGCAGCGAGGGCGAGAAGAGGAAGCGTGAAGTGCATGGCGGTGGTTGTAGTAGGTTATTTTTTTGGTTACTGTTTGAATGAACTTGGTGGGATGAGTAAATGGGCAGAGGCCCAGACGGTATGGTTATATATTTCAACGTCTCGTATTCCGACGTCAGAAGTATCCACGTTACTTCGTAACCTCAACATCAAGCTCGGAGCTTAGTGCGTTGCATCGACCAACGCACAGTTGATACGAAGGAACCAGAGAGTACTTGCATGGATACCGTAGTCAAGAGACGGTGAGAATGTGTGTTCTTACCTGTCATTCAGGACTCACTCGGTCGATCCAGCTGCACAGGTATCGCAAAGGATGTCCTGAAAGCCGTCGCATATATCTCAGGGTGGATGCCATGCATCTCTTTCCGGCTATTCACCAACATAGTTTCTGATGGACTGTGTCGCAAGAGGTACGGAATCAGGCATCAGAGATGTTATGTTGTTACCAGTCCCTGTGTGCTAAGCATTCACGGAGAAAAGGGGCCCGTAAAGACGTGCCGGGAGCTTCGGTTCCCTCGTGTACATGCGGGGAAGCCGGAAAGGTACTCCCGTGAATACGATCGTAAAAGTCGGTCCGATAGAAGGCGAGCGAGCTGCCCTTTGACAAGGTATACGTCTTGTACATGGCAGATGCGGTTTGGTTCTAAAGATAGAATGTCCACGATCCTTGACTGAAATTAGAAGTAAGACAAATAGGCCGCTCTTCTCTGGCCACTTAGAGCTGTCGCGATTCAGCCCACGACGACAAGCCACTCTCCACGCGCCACAAAGGAGTGGCACGCACGCCTTCACTGCACAGAGCTGCTCAAACTATGCGCTTTGTAGGCTCGGAGGTAGTAGATGACCGAAGACGTTGTTCCGCTCTAGCCGTTCCCCACCAATCTTCCTGACTAGAGTACGAGAGGCGGTGAAGTGTAGCGGTGAAAGCATCTTCTGCTCTTCCTGTCCAAGCCCTGACAAACCTCATTGCTGAAGCACGGAAAAAGTGGAGATTTTGGAGATTTTGGACGCGGCGAAAATGTTAGCTTGGGAGTAAGAAGAAACGCGCCAGGGCACTAAGATGAACCCGTTGGTCTTCCCTGTACATCCACACGTTACTGACCATATACTGCAACGAAAGACGCTGCTGACGTAAAAATCGGCCGATTGTAAGATATGTTAATTATTTGCATTTCTAGATGTAGTGTCTATAAGAGTAGGTATATATCAGCTTCCAGAGACAAGATCAAACGTCCAGGTCCACGCTGGAACTATCTCAGACTCGCAACCACCTATTTAGAGAGCCAGTTGCCACAGGGTTTTCTTATCATCTCTTTTGTCTAGTGTGTCAGTACCAGCCACCATGGTGACCATAGCAGGCTCCGTAGGCGTCGAAGTAGCTGTTGGTTCAATGCCAGGTTTTGTAGGCCAATTGAATCCTGAAGACCAAGCGGGTTTGGTACTAGATGGAGTAGGCCAGTTAAACCCTGAAGACCAAGTACTATACTCTTCAACCGCCTGCAGCCCACGTGCCTCAATCTTCTGTGCAGAGCCCAACGGCAGCGCCGGACCAGCATAATCCATCTGCAGATCCCGCTGCGTGGCAAGTTCATCCGCAGCCAACAGGGCCGCCGAGTAAGCCAGATACCATGTGCGACTTGCGCCTCCATCGAGTTGTTCGTTGAATTTTGGGTCGGCGAAGAAGTCGTACGAGGCTTTTTGGTCGAATAATGCTTGGTTGGCTTTCAGGATGCTTTTCCAGCCGCCTTGGACTTGTTCGGCGCGTCCGTTGTCAAAGTATGTGGCCCACTCTTCTTGGACGAATTGCCTACGACGTGTATAGGCGGACGACGGGTTCAGAGGAATCATGTGTATGCCCTCGATATATTCAATATTTCCTCCAAAGTACGTAGTATGATCGATCTTATTCTCAAAGAGAATACCGGTAGCTTTGTTTTTGACAAAGCCTGCAGGTTGGTTCGTGTTGTTGGCCTCCATAAGGAAGTAGTTTTTGATACTGCGCGCTTGCACAGCGAGCTGCAAGTTTCCGCGAGCCTCCATGTTTGGATCCTGAATGACCCTGCCCCACATCTTGATCGCGTAAGTCGCGAAGGTATCCTCGGATGTTGATTCCTGGTCCTTTCCGTCACCAGACTCGAAAAGACCCTTTGCCCATGAGTGGCCATGAAACCAGTCAAATGAGCGCTGGAACGGGAAATACTCGTCGGCTACTGGGTTAGCAAAGTCGCGCACAAGGGAGTTGACCCAGGCTTTATTGCTACCTTGACCGAGCCAGGTAGGATCAAGATGTCCGATGACAGCGGCAGTATACACAAAGTACCCATAATGGAAGTGGTGATCATTGTATAGCGTGTTTCCAAAGTCTAGTCCTAGGTCTCCTGAATAGCTGGCGCCCGAGACGATGCCCTTCCAGACCTGATCGTAGACGAGCGGCTCAGGTTGGGTGTTGTTAACAAAGACGTTGAAGGCATCCTTGAGACGGTCCAAACCAGCCGCAGCATACTGGCTGTTGCCTGTCATGCTGTTCAACGTATAGATGATGGTAGCAAACTTGGCCAGGCCTTTGCCGGAGTAGTACATGCTATTCAGCGATGTCTGCCGGATCATGTCCTGGCTGAGCTCAGCTATGCCAGCTTGATTTATGAGCGCAAGAGCCTGTGAATTCACATTGATGTTCTCCGAGCCCCCAGCCGCGTTGGGATTTTTAGCCCATGGAGCAAAACCAATAGTGTCAGGAAGGTCGTTCTCCACCATGGTCATCCGGTCAGCGACGATGGCTCGTGCGAAGCCTTTCGTGGTCGTAACAAGGGTGATGTCCTTCAAACTCGCAGCCGTCCGTTGATCGAACGACTCGACGTGGTGAGGTAGTGCATACATAAGCAGCGGTCGTTCCACGAGGCCACCTTTGGCCCAGTCTATCGTGTAGCTTCCGAAAGCTCCGTTGACTGTCGCAGAAATAGTCGCGTTGACAGCATATACGCCGGCACTGTAATCAAATATGCTTTCCACTGCCTCGCCGGATGGATTCTTGGTGACTTGGATTCTGCCTATAAAATCGGCAGGACCAGTGATTGTAGTGCTGCTCTCCAATACGAAGGGCAGCGTACCGATGGAACCGTCTGATGTAACATATAAGAGCCAGTGTGAGCCATCATTGAGTACGATCCGGTATTTGTCCGTGACTCCGTTGACTCGCTCAACCCAGTCCAGAGAAAGGAAGAAGACAGTGGTTTTGATTACCGGCTTTGCCCTATCGTAGACAGCGGTGACCATGCCCATACCCTGAGCAACGGGAAGAGACATCAAGATGCGAGTGCCTTGCATACTGTTTGGTCGTAAGTTCACCCACGTCGAGAAGGCTCCCAAGCGCTCAAGCGAAAGGGAGGTATCGGACTTCAGCTCCGCAGCGGTTAGTATGATATGATGGATACCGATTGGCGAGATGAAGAACCGCGTGTTGTTTGCATCGGGGACGAAAGCAAACTTGTCTCGTGTGGTGTGACTGATGGCAATACCTGTAACAGCAAGGGGCCTAAATCAGCAAAGGCTCAACCTCGGCGCTTGGAATACGTACCATAAGAGCCATCATTGGGGTTGTTATCCCACGACAAAGAGTAGGGGTGTGTCCAGGTCGAGAAAGACCGGCTGCCTAGGAAGAAGTTTGCGTAAAATTTGTTGGTCTGAATCGGGACGTCCTTATCGTCGATGTGCTGCTTCTGAACTGGATGATCCGCTCTTGAAGGTAGGGCTGGCGGAGGTGCCCCGGTCGCAATGGGTTGGAAGATGTTCGACGAAACTGGGTTGAACGGTGCTGTGGGACCGGGGCTAAGAGGCGTTTCATTGGGGCACAGTGGCTTGGTGGCGGTTGTAGTGCCTGGACCGTCGGCTGGATCCTTTGTGAAACCGCCTGAGGGAAGACCTGTCAGAAAGCTCTACTGTTAGTTAGTTCCTGCATCTTCAAGGTCTTGCAAAGGTCTTTTCAGGTTGTGGCATACCCCCGAATTGGATGGTTCGCCAGTGGGAGAGACCGACTGCAACGATGTAATAGCTGTGCTATAACTTGTAGTGACCGAGACGTCTGTCAAGGTTATCTCACGGGCTATGACTATGTTTGCGTCTCTTTTCGCTCCTCCGTTGGCAGGCAGACTGCGAACGGAAGACACATGGGCGAGTGCCAGCAAGAAGGATGTCAGCTTCACCATGCTGACAACTGACTACGTTCAAACGAACGACAGACAGAGAAAGGGGTGCTGTCCTAAAACTGGAGTACAGTACGCGTGTATGTTTCAAATAGGGGTTCGACGAAGGAGTGTGTTGAACGATAGATGATAATTTGGTGGAGAATGCCTACCTGCAGGGGAGATAAGATATATAACCTAGGTAGGTAAGCCATGAGATCCTAGGCTCGTGGGATGTTTTACCGGTCATCGTCGTTCATGATCACTATAGGAAGGTCGGTACATACACCTAAGACATCAAGCTCAGGTGTGAAGAGTGGAAACTCTAGGCGCGGCTAGATTACTACAGTAAGCTCCCAATACCTCGCCCCGCATTACACAAGAGTCTCGGGTACCTGAAGCCTCACCATACACAGGCTTCCAGAGCCAGCCCAGGATTACTGTGGCACTCTGGTCGTCCCGTAAAGTCTTCGCTAGTAACGATTATAACTCGTTGATATAAGTCCTTGCCTCAGACAGTGGTATTGTAGAGTTCTGGAAATGGATTGAAAGCTCATGTAGTAAAATTTGTAGCAAAGAAACGGTGGCCGTGGTCACATACAGGGCTTGCGCGTTGGTCAGTAGATACATAGAGTGTGGTCTCCATACATGTGGAATCATGGCTGGCTCGCATGATCGAGAAACGGGTGCGGATCCTTGACAGGCGTATCCAAAGGGAGACCAAAAGCAGTGAGGGTCCGGTACAGCGTCCCTAAAGCATTCGTGAGTAGTTGCTAATGATCTGGATTGTGCTCAGAGCGGCTCGGTTCTCAGGGATACGTGAAACCAAATGTCTCTGGTAGAGCAGAGGATGATGGGAAGTTGACAGGTGACCATCCTTTTCGACGTAGTCCCAAGCCGATTTGGTTTTCTCGGCGTTTTCGTGTTCTTTGAAGAGCATGGAAATGCCGTGTTGAAGTTTGTGGATCATAGCCCGTGGTGCGAAACTTACGCTGCTTGAATGTGGTAAAGATATTGCTGTTGTCTTCTTTTTAACTCGAGATAAAGCTACCTACCGTGCAAGTATTGAGGTTCGAGGACTAGAAGATGATGTTCAGCATGTTCGCAATGCCCTCGTGATAGTACCCTCGGTCAGGCTTGACGGACCCAAGAAACAATGATGTCGGCAATGGAACCAGAAAACACCTTTGCGCAAGAAGCGTTGGACACAAAATCTCAGAATACCGAAACCAGGGCTGAGGTCTCGGTTGTCGGTCTCGAGACTGCGGTGAGACACGCGCCTTCTGTCCGTGTGGAGAGATCTGCAGTGTGACAGGCGCACATGGTGGAGAGACGAGGCTGGTGTGCACTCAGAACGGTCCCAGATAGCTCTCGTGGCTGCGCAAAATTTCTAGGATTTTGACATGATTTATGCTAGAGCCATGATGCTTCGTGGTATGGATGGTAGGGGCAAAGGAATGTGGCGAGCATCACATGCCAGAATCCCATCGGAGATGCTCTATTCGTAGCTCCGTCGAGTCGCACAGCCACAGACACCTTGACGTCATCATGATCGACGCCACTTCCCATACCAAACGATACTACTGCATTTACATACATTGCAATAACCTGTAATCTGCTCTCCTACAATACTCTCTCCTTCCCATCGGAACATACAGCCTCAATTGTACTAACACGAACGTCGTCCAACACACCTCATCACTTTCTACTACCTACCAATTCTACAATGGCGACATCACATCCACCTAATGAGCCGCCGCCCAGCTACGAAGCTGCCATCTTCGATGCCGACCCTTCACCTGGCTTACATCGTGTCTCCACCGATGGTCCTGCAGCACGTACCGAGCGTAATGGCATCCCACCCGACCGACGGCGCTCCATGGAGGACGAGATGCGCGAGCTACCTCCTGGCTGGGTACGTAGCTTTGACCCAGAGACTTCACATCAGTTCTTCGTCGACACGAAGGCAGATCCTCCGCGTAGCATTTGGACACATCCCTACGACGATGAACAGTTCCTTAATACGCTGAGCCCCGAAGAGCGTAAGAAGCACACTCGCATGCATAGGACCATGACACTGGAGGACCTCACAGCTGAGGACTCCGATGCCGAAGACCAACTCCCTCCGCGACCTACGTCCAAGGGCAAGGGTGCTGCGGCGCCTGGTGAACCTACTGGCATACATAAGTTCTCTCGCAAGCTGAAGGACAAGATCACTGGCCAAACCCACACAGAACGCGAACAAGCTCGTGCCCGTCGCGCAGAGCAAGAACGTCAAGCATACCTTCAACATCTCCGTACACGGCAAGCACTCGTACGCGCCATGGAAACAGGCCAGCCGCAGTTGTTAGGCAAGGACCGTCAGGGCAGAGACGTGTACATCGAGCCACCTCATGGTCCTTACGCTCCAAGGGGAGCTTACGGATATAACCCATACGGTGGCCGACAGTTTGGAAATCCAGGCGTACGGTATATGCGTCCAGCTGGACCGTACGGTAGGCCGTATGGATACGGCTACGGAGGAGGAGCTGGGTTACCCATCGCAGCTGGTTTCCTTGGTGGCGCCATGCTTGGTGGTGCGCTTTTCTAAAGGACTGATGGTAACGATACCTGACAACATGTGTCACTGACTGAGCACATGTCCATCGTCATGATGACGAGCTTGGGGCATAGATATGGAGACCTCTTCAATGTCCTTTTCAATACTTAAGATATCCTTAGTAATGACTTACGAATTAAACCTGATTACACCATAAGATGTGCCCTTCGGTGCCTGTTGCTATGTAAACTTACATTACGACATCTTTTCGTTATCCTACGCCTTTGAGAAGGCTTCGATCAAACAACTATGTGTCAATACTTTGACATAAATATCCTTCTACAGCTATAGCTTCAAGGCCACACAGCGAAAGTACCAATCTTTGAGGCAAAAACATGGGGTATCTTATTGTAACTCCTAGCCTAAGTTCAAACCACAGTCACAACCCTTCTGGGCCGTTATCGCAGACCAGATATGTCTCTCGACATGGAGGTAACACGATCTTCGAGTTCCTTCTTCTTTCTCTCAAGTTGACGCGTCTCCTCTTCTTCCCGTTTTAGGTCTTCTTCTGTCATTGGCGCCACAACAGGCTCCAGCTCCTCTTCGACCTCGTCAACATCCTCATCCATGTAATCTCCTCGTGACCGGCTCAGCTTGCCAAGCTGAGCTTGTTGTTCGGCAAGGCGTGCTTCGTAGTACTCTACCGAGGCTGCGACCTGTGCATGCCGTTGGCGCATGGCTGCGATTCTGTCGTGGATTCCTGGTATAGGGCTATGTTTGGTTAGCCACGAGTAATGTTTTGTAGTATTCCAAGACGTACTAGACCCGGAGCAATTTCTCGGCACCTTCCAGCAGGGACTCAACGTCAACTTCGTTCTTGTTGCTGCCATTGTACATTCTGTAGCCTAGGCCTGAGCCTGCTCCTCCTCCGCCGCCTCGTCGAATCCTCTCCACCAGCTCATTGCCGAGCACCGCAGCCACAGCCGTGTTACGCCTGGGTGCTCTTACAGCATTTGCACCACCTCCAGATGTGCTTGTGCCGCCGCCTCCATTGGGATTGAAGATGGTATTGCGCCTGTTGGTAGATGGAGCTGGTTCGGCATGCTTGGGAGCTGCGGGCGGCGGAGGGACGGAGAACAGAGCGCGTTCGTGGATTTCAGTGTCTCGGATCAAGCTCGTGATATCATGGTTTTGGAGTAAGGCATTGGTGAAGATCTTGGGCGGGGCGAACCTGGGGTGTGTTCAGTCGAGTGCTATAGCAGGTGAATGGACGGTGGACCAACGGCAACTCTGCGATTGACGCGGCGCATAGCGAGATTTGCTCCAGATGCGCATCTAACAATGTCATGATGGGCGTCAGCTGTATATAGAAAGTGTGTACCGGGGTGACGCGGGGTGTAAACAATGGCCGGTCGGTGCTCGATAACTATTCCCCGATGTTCCGCCGCGCTGGCGTCAGTGAAGCTGGGAGCTCAACCTCAGCAAAGCATCAACACCAACCACACCCACCACCACTCCCTCCACATCACCCGCACCTTCCGTCTTCTCCGCATATACACATCAAGAGCGACCATCATGGCGGACAGCATGGAAGGCGTCGTCGTCGAGGGCGAGCAGCCCAAGGCCGAGAACGTAGAGCAGAAGGCCATTGCTGGTAAGTAGACGACTTCGCCGCGCAGCATGCCTTTTACTTCAAAGTGTCCCTGTACCAACTGCACCACCTCGTGGCCGGTCCGCAAGATGTGTCCGAACCATATCATCGCCACCGAGATTGCGGCTTGCAAGTATCTCTACCACCGTGCTGACCCGACGACTACAGACATCCGGGGCAACTTTGTCCTCCTCGAGCGAGCCGTCGCCCAGTTCGATACCCGCTTTACCCTACGCGCCCTCCGTTCCATATCATCGCTCCGCAAGAGGCTCACCGACCGTGTACTATGCTCTGTCATCATCCTGACATACTCCCCAAACAACGCCACAGCGCGCAACTTCATCGAGTACATTGGCATGGATGGCGAGGCGATACAGAGCGTTGTATCCCAGTACAAGGAGGAGGTCCAACTCAACAAAAACAACACCAAGGAGCCCCTGCCCGAGGTGGACATTTACATAGCCATTCTGATACAGGTATGTTTGTAGGCGGTACGACTGCTGGATTCGCTAACAGGCGCAGGTCTATCTCTACGATCAGAAGGAGTTTGAAGAGGGAGCTGAGTTCGCCGAGACGCTGGTAGACAAGATCCGAGAGCTAAACAGGCGGACATTGGACTCGTTAGCAGCCAAGGCCTACTTCTACTTCTCTCTGTTCCACGAGGAAATGGACCCCAAGCCCCCATCGAAGCAGTCGCCCGTCATTCAAATCCGCGGAAAGCTACTCGCTGCGCTCCGAAGCGCAGTGCTCAGGAAAGACCCAGACACGCAGGCCTCCGTTACCACACTGTTGCTCCGAAACTCCCTCTCGACCGCCGACATCACACAAGCCGATCTCCTTGTTGCGCAGACGCAATTCCCACCACAAGCCCCAAACAACCAGGTTGCGAGATACTTGTACTACCTTGGCCGCATACGGGCTATTCAGCTGTCCTACACCGAGGCACACGAGCACCTAATCAGCGCCACCCGCAAGTCGCCCTCTGCTCACTGTGCAACAGGCTTCTACCAGGCTTCGATGAAGCTCCTGGTAGTCGTTGAGCTGCTGATGGGTGACATTCCCGAGCGCGAGGTCTTCAGCCAGCCCCGTCTGGAGCGTGCTATGGAGCCTTACTTCCGTCTCGTTCAGGCAGTCCGCGTTGGCGATCTACAGGGCTTCCTGAAGGTGGTGCAGACGTCCTCGTCCGTCTTCCAGCGCGATGGCACCTACACTCTGATCCTCCGCCTGCGACAAAATGTTATCAAGACTGGTATCCGTATGCTGTCGCTTTCATACTCGCGCATCTCGCTCCGCGACATCTGCATCCGTCTCGGTCTTGAGAGCGAGGAGTCGGCCGAGTACATTGTTGCCAAGGCTATTCGCGATGGTGTCATAGAGGCTTCTATTGATCACGAGAAGGGATTCATGCAGACCAAGGTTGCTGGCGATATCTACGCAACTCGTGAGCCTGGTGAGGCATTCCACGAGCGTATCCGGGCGTGCTTGACCCTGCACGACGAGTGTGTCAAGGCAATGCGATACCCCATGAACCAACATCGTCTGGAGCTCAAGAACGCCCAGGAGGCGCGGGAGAGGGAGCGCGAGTTGGCCAAGGAGATCCAAGATGGTGACATTGACGAGGACGACGCGGGTGGAGACTTTGAAGGCTTGTAGAGGGGTCATACAGCTTGGACGATTCATTCCGTGAGCGTGTAAGATAGCCACATAAGGGCTGGCATTGATAGACGTTCCAGACAGTGTGGGACAGACATCGTAATGATGCATGAATAGAACAAATCCGAGACGTCACCACATAAGTTTGAACACGCCAGTGACATGTGATGGATGCTTCAAGAGTCGCTAATCTGACAGATGGATCCATGCTGCGCATCCGCGCGAGAACTAGCCAGTTGCAGCAAGATTCCGTGAACGTCCCCGCAGCTTGTCCAAGGCCCAACGCTCCCGCCCCACACCAGCTCTCCCTCGCGAACGTCACTTCGCGATTGCCATCATCTCCGTGCCGTCTGACCACTCAATCATGATTCACTGCCGCAGCCATGTAAGTCGTATCCCACAGAGTAACTCGACCCGCCGCCGCACCCAGCCCATCCGAACCCGTCCCTAATGTCCAACAACAGGATTGACGTACCCCGGCGACTCCGGCGCGCCATCCTACTCAACGACCTCGCCCTCGTCCAACGCATTATCCGCAACAACCACACGTACCTACGCAATCCCGACTTCGAAGACCGCTCCAACACATCGCTGCACCTCGCTGCGAAACATGGCTTCACTTCCATCGCCGAGTTTCTCGTCGACGCGGGCCACGAAGACGGAATGATCAGCCGTAACAACGACTGGGAAACGCCTCTCATGCTGGCCGCAAGCGCTGGAAAGGAAGAATGCGGCGTCTACCTCGCCAAGCGCTTCCCCGAATCCGTAGACTGGAAGAACAAAGCCGGTCTCGACGCGTTGATGCTGGCGTGTAAATCTGGTTCGGGGACACTGCATCTCATCCCCGCGCTGATCCTCCATGGACCCAGTATACTTTCTGCGAGCGACGCGCAGGGCAACACGGCGCTGCATCATGCTTCTGCGGCGGGAGAATTGAAAGCGCTAAGGATGTTACTGCAGTATGGAGCGAATCCGCTGGCGAGTAATAGCTACAGCTGGACACCTGTTCATTACTCGGCCACCACAGCGGCAGAAGCATATTTCAAGACTCTCATCATCGAGTTTGAGAAGAAGAAGGCAGAAGGGAAGCGCGCGGTCAAGGAGAGGGAGCGGCAGCGTACCGCAGGCGTCAGGCTGGTTACTGATGCCGAGGGTTTGGGAGGTGCGAATGCAGGCGTGCCAGAGGGGAGGGCTTCCGTTGAAAGCAACAGACAGCGGGCGAGGGATGACGCGGCCATTGCAGGGCTTCCGGCGCCCGGTATGATGGAATGGAGCCCTATAGAGAGGAGGAGAGCTATGACGCCCACTGAGGGCAGGGGGTGGACATTTACGCCTGATGGAATGAGGCCGAGGGCTGAGACCGGCGAGTCTATATAGGCATACATTGGGTGTTAGAAGGGGTTGGCATCGAGCAAGGAGCATTGAAGAGCGGAATTTTGGCGTTGTGGGGTCACGGTTTGTATATTGATATATGTACCATCACGCATACTCTTTTGTACTCCTTCGAGCTTTCAAACGAAAATTTTTGAGCTGATCCTTATTCTCCCGTGCATCATGCATCAGGCTTCTCAACCCGATTCGCGGCCATGCTACTCCGCCAAATTCTACACTGAACCAAAGAAGTCTACCCTATACTACATTGGAGAGAGACGCTAAACATCTCTTTGGAGCACACCTAGGTAATACTTGTTCCTACTACAATAAAGCGTATTGACATAATATAGACATAGATCGAAGATCTAGGAGTCTACAATGCTATCAATTTTTACAAGTTTTCTTGTTGGGAGCTAATGTAAGCTACAAGCTAGGACTTGTTGTTTCTATATTTGTTAGCTTTTCCCTTGTATGTGGTGCTAGAAGCCTTACCTCCTTATATCCAAGCAGCCATTTCCCTCGTCGCAGACACAGGACACGCCGGCCAATGGAATCTGCTGAAAGTGTGAGGGACGAGTGTCTCATGCACACACCCAGGGCAGCCGTGCTGGCTATCTCGGTGATACCAAGCGTCGTGGAGTTCTACTGGAAATTGACCGCGTTGGACGTTGAGGCCTGGAGGCTGGTATCGACCTTGTTGGGTGTAGAAGATTTGAGGTGGATTGGGACCTCGATGAGGGGAAAGCCTCGGTGGTGGGTTCTGAGCTTGTGATATGACGAGACTAGGGGGTGGTTTGACTCTTCTTTGAGTGGAGAGACTTGAAGGTGACGGGCGATAGGGGGCTGAGAAAAGTTGGTTGGGATGAGTTAGGGTGTTGTAGTTTGGATGGACATGACTCTGGTGATGGGTAGAAGATAGGCGGTCTGCAGGAGGAATACATCTGCCTGTGGTGGTGGAAGACGAGGTGTTGAAGCTGTTTCCAGGTACGTTGCTGGAATTGTACGTTTGAGGGTTTCGTGTGTATGAGGACCGTTTGACAGTTGTGTTGGCTTTTGTAGTAAACATGTCATTTCTGGGCGCGCAAGATAAGACGTTACGGATGCTGATAGAAATGGCACCAGTATCAAGGGGGCGCTTGTTCTCAAGTGGGCTGTCGGGGCGTCTAAGGCTGGAAGAAGGCATTTTCTAGAACGGAATGTGTTGTACGAAGTTGGTATTGAATGTCTGTTGGAAAAAGACGTGTTGGATGAGACTCGAGGGGAGAATTATGATTCTTGTTGGAGTATGAGAGTGATGGGTTGAATGCTATGGAGGATTTGGCTTTATAGGCAGTACGCTGGTAGCTAAGGAAGGTACCAATAACAACACATGAGATGGCTCCTTCTCATCAATTCTTAGCTGAACCGACCACGAGTTATGCTTCAGGCGAAGATAATGTGGTGGACCAATGATGAATGACTATGATAAGGTAATCCTACCAACCTCTTTCGGGGGTAGCCAATGACTGCGATAGTAAATGTTAGTCACGAAGCGTCATTTTGCAAGTACGGTCTGTTCAAGTCGCCAGATCCACGGTAGCAAAGTTATACAAGGAGACTGCAAGATTTATTGCCGCATCTGATCGCGATCTAGTTGGGAACGGCTCCCTCATGGTACATCACAGTGGATATGATTGTTAGCAAGAGAGATTCTCCTTTGTGAATCGCATGGACAAGGAAAGATTGCTCGAATGAGAACAGTAATAGGGAGAGTGGAGTGAACCCAAACAGTACGTAAAGCTGGGCCCCATGGTCACTGCTAGACGTCACATCACTGGCAGTGACCACTGTCTCTTTGCAGTCACGAACATCGCGGGAGGAATTGTGGCCATTACATCGTTTAACCAATTTTGTTGGGTTTCGCAAATTCGGTTTCCATGAGGGCTGAAGCAAGGGGGCATGGGGCATGGGGCAGATCACACTATGTTCATGTGGTTTTAAATTCACTGATTCGTTACCACTGCCTATCAATTTAGCGTTCCACATCTCTAAACTAACATATCCCATGGATCTCATCATGACATCACTTTTCTTGTCTCAGAGGAGAGGGTCTACATCGACGCCCTCAATCTACGTTAAAACGGCACGTATCATTATATCCAGCCAGTCAAAGCTTGACCACGTTCTGCGTGTTTATTACATACATGGAACATCTTCCCAGTTACATAGGTTCCAAAACTTGATATGTTAACACCATTGAGCGGCCGGAATTTGGAGATTCTGTTGTCTTATCGTCAGTATCCTACTGAAAGAACAATTTGGTTTCGTCATTCCTGGTTCTTATTTACCCTACATTCACTACTTATACTGGCGAGAGACCAAAGAGTTCTAGTCTGCAAGACGGTATTCCTTCCTTCATTACTATAGACAAGGTAGTTCCGTGTTCCGAGTAACAACATGATGGCAAGACACGATAACGGATAATGCTATCATTTCCATGACCACCTACGTAGATGCAACGCAGTTCCGCTTCTGCGTTCTATGTGCCCATAGTGAAGTCTAAACGCCTCCACGACATTCTCACGTTACAAAACTCATTACACTTTATTGCTAAGCAGAGATGCACGCCAGATTATAGCAAAGCCCAAGTCAAGTCAAGTCAAGTCAAGTCAAGTGATTTGAAATTTGATTTGCATTTCATGTTAAGATAAGCTCGTCTGGAGTCCGCGAAACGAGAAGGTAAACTGGAGATCGTACCAAAACGCCGAAAAGAAAAGTGAAAGGCAATTGCCTCCTCACTACCTCGCTTCCGTAATAAGCTGGTGGTTTCCAAACCGCACATGATGCATGCCCCTAGATCCTGCGTGACGAATGTGAAAGAAACGCCGCCTAATCACGCGCCCAATCCCGATATTCATTATAGAAGGCTGACGCAGTCGTGATTGAGATATGTCGTGTGAGTTTAGATGCGGTGACATGGTAACGTGGTGAGAGAAGCGTGTGAATGTCTTGGTGTTCAAAGGTAGCGGAAATCTGGTGCACGAGATCTGCGGTTGCGACCTCGAGGGTTGACCGGTTGCCTGTCGTACGCATCGTTAGGGTCTTGTTGTCCTTGTGCCTGCCCTTGCCCGTTGCCCCATTGCCCTTGTCCCTGTCCACCCCATCCGTACTGTTGCTGCTGGTTGTACTGCTGACCGAACTGTTGTTGATTGTAACCAAAATTTTGCTGAGGAAACCATTGTTGTTGTGGCATCTGTTGCTGTTGTTGCTGCTGGAAGCCCATCTGATAGCCGTTCTGGAATCCCATTTGCTGAGGCATCTGCATTGGCATAGGCATACCCATTGGCATTCCCATAGGCCCCATCGGTGCGTTCTTGAGCATCTCCATCTGTTGTATAAAGTCCTGCTCCATCTTCGAGGCGGGATCGGCCGCTTGACGCATGGCTTTCGGTGCGGTGGGAGGCTTGATGTCTGTAGGAGGCTGCTTGCGCTTCTTTGAAGAGGTTGAGTCAGTATCGGATACTTCGTCAGCCGCAGCAGTCGCCGCCGCTGCTGGAGTAGCAGTAGTGGTGGCATTTGTATCGTCATTTGCGACAGAAGAAGATGCGTTGTCAGTAGCAAGTGATTGATTAACTGATTCATTTTCTGAAGCAACTGCTGCCTTTGCTGCCTTTTCCTTCTCTGCTGCCTTCTCTGCGTCGTATGCCTTGAGAGACTTGACCATATCGTCATCAGTAACGAGATCATCCATTAGAACATCCTCCTTTGCGCAGTTTGGACAAATTAGATCACCGTCTGCCAGCGCATTGTCGATGCACTCACGGCAGTATGTCTTACCACAACAGGGTGTCTTGACTGGGTCGACAAATCTTTGATTGTCGATGGGGCATTCGAATCCGCGCTCGCGGAGCTCTTTGCTTGCTGCGTCAGCGCTTGCTGCGCGCGCTCGTGATGCATTTGTCTTCTCTTGAAACTTGTCCCATGTCTTCTGGTCAGTCATGACTTGTACGTATTCGCCGTCGGCGTTGAGCATGACGCCCTTTGCAGCCTCTTCGTCGACAGGCTTCTCGACCTTCTTTAAGAAGGACTGCGGTATGCCGGTGGTGCGCTTCGCTTGGAACACGGGTTTGAAGTCGGGATCGTCGTTCGTAGGGCAGGCCTGAATCCAGTGGCCTTTGATATTACAGCGGCGACATACGTAGCCTGGAGGAGGAGGATGTGAAGGAACTACAACGTTCTTGGTGTTGTTCTTGCGGTAGACAGGCTTTGCATGTGAAAGTGCCTCCTTCTGCGCGTCCCAGGCCATCGCCGACTCAGCCAAAAACGCGGCCTCAGCATCTTCTGGTGTCGCATTGCTTGTGGGAGGTGCAGGCGCGACGGGCTTGCTTTGTGTAGTAAAGGCACGAACAGGGGGCTTGCCGTTGACATATCTGGCAGCTCGGCCCTGCCCGCGAGGCGCTGGGCGGCGAATCGCTATGACGGTAGAGGATCGCGGTATTAACGTAGTGTCGTCTTTGTACTCGGAAGCAGGGTCATCTTGAGGGTAGATGTGTAGGTTGAAATCGGTTCCATCGCCGAGGCCGCTCGCGCTGATAATCTCCTTCTTGAGCTCGAAAACACTCAGATCGGTGCCGTTGAATACTATACGCTCGCTATCTTTTGAGTTCTTGAATTTATAGAAGATCGATGAAGTCATGGTTGCGATTCGTGGTTTGGCTTCAAACGTGGTGGTGTGGTGAGAGAGTGTAGAGCTGACGGAGGAGGAAGGGTATCGGAAGCTGAGTTATGGCCCGCGGTGCGCACGGGCCATGTCACGTCGGAAGTCGATTAGTGCCCGCAAACCATCAATCCATGGATCCTACTAGACTAGATGGTCCTCTACCAAACTGGAGGCTAAAGGACCTCACGAAATTCTGTGAATTTATCTCTACCTGAAAAACTCTCTGGGTAACTCCACGCATTGTTCTCAAGATTTCATCAGCATGTTTGGCCCATGGTATTTGTCATGCGACGAGCAGTTTCCAAGGCATTCTGGTAACTACCATTCTCATGGGTAACTCCAGATATGATTTCCAAGAGAGAAATAACTTTACTGGCGTGTTTGATTCGAATTGTTTGCCATGCATTGGCAACTTCTATGGTATTTGGTATCTACTCATCTGCAGCATCCGCCTCCAGCTCGTCCGGCCCCATCTCTTCCCTCGCACCACCAGCATCACACTCGTGTATGATCTTCTTCCAACCCAGTGGCGCAGACGCGTCCTTGATGTGCTCGATGGTTGGGAAGTAGTGCTCATTCTTCTTCATGGTCGCGACCCATGGTACGTTGTCAAAGGTCATGACCTTCATGCGGAAGTATTCATTGTCCTTGATCTTCTTAATTTCGGTGAGGAAGGCCGACAAATTGGGAGTAGGGACGTTGTTCACGTGTGTGACAAAGTTTGTAGGCGCGAGCTGATGACATGGTCAGTAAGGTATTCTTAAGATAACTGATAGGTGGCAGGTCGCCACAAGCAAGGCCTAAAGGTATCCACCGGCTGGAAATCCACGGTCCGACGACAGAATACCATCCGAGCCACAGGATGAGTGCCGAGGGTCTAGAGCTATCGAAGTCAGGCCTAGGGGTATCCGCCTTCTGAAGTCCTCGGCGCCCACACCGAGCATGGTGAGTAAGCAGACAGTAAATCCATGGTAAACCAAGTGGAGCCAGGGCATATTTGCTGGATGAACTTCCAGAATCCCAGAGCAGTGTCCAAATCATACAAAAGTGGGCTTAATAAGCAAAAGAAATAACTCCTAGTGTATCCATGGGAGGCCCGGTAATATTCGCAGAGGGGGTGCGCAATTGTTTCCAGCGTCCAGCTTTCGGAGTCGCCCAGCCCATGGAAAGTGTTCAGAATGTGGATGTAAATCTCCGGTATCCAACGGCGTATCCAGGCTCCAGCGTGGAAAGAACGTGTGATAGAAAGAACAGAAAGAAAAAGAGATTAGCACTTACCCCGTACATGTATGCCGGTGAGCCACGAGCCCGCGACGAGATGTAAACATCCGAGTGAATTTTGCTGATCTGCTGGCGCACAGCCTGATGAGGGCGATGGAAAGTGGCACCACAGAAACTGATTAGGCGATCAGTCTCAAGGTCCTCTGTTGCGACAGTCGATACCTTGATAGTCTTCTCCTCACGCTTGCGCACAACAACAGCGTCCAGGAACTCGTTGTTGTACATGATGTCGAGGTCAGGTGAACGTGTGACCAGCTTGCCATTGAGCGTAAGGAGGACATCGCCTTCGTTGAGACCATCGCCGTGACCTGAATCGACCTTGCGGACCATGAAGAGCTGGTGGCGCTCTGGATCAGCCGTCTCAGTCTTCTCGATCCATTCCTCTGAGACACCCATGACGCGGGCTTGACTCATCTGGACGGTCTGGAACTCGACGTTCAAGATACGTAGCTTGGGTGTGGTTCCGCCTCGGATCTCGTTGAGAACTGGCAGAAGGTTGGGCGTTGCAAGACCAAGATGGTATTCAACGTCTTTGCCACTGTGTGATGTCCGCTCGCCTAGGTACGAGAGCCAGAGAGCCTGAACGGTGCCATCCTCAGCAATCAGCACGCCAGAACCACTATGTGAGGCTTGGTTCGTGTCTACAGTGATGGCGTCGAAGTTGGTCGCACGGTATCTAGGTGTGATTGCGCTAGCTGGAATCGCGACTGTGGTGATATCAGTGACGACAGTCTTTGCTACGACAGGTCGGAAGTTTTGGTTGATGCCAAAGAAGATGGTCTCTGCTCCTTTCTTGATGAAGTCGGTGGCGAACTTGGGTGTCTTTACAGGAGCGTTGACAAGAGAGGCATCGTACTTGACAATGGCATAGTTCTGCAATGGGTGCATGAAGACAACCTTGGCATCGACAAAGATGCTGTCAGCAATGATGAGCGAGATGTCGCAAAGGTCATATGGCAGAATCGCCCTCGAGACAAGGACAAGACCCTGTTCAGCATCGACAACGAGTCCATAGCCCTGTTTGTTCATCTTGGGGAAGCCATCTAGCTTAATAGGCATAGAGACATGCACTCGTACGAAGCTACGAACAATGTCTACAGCCTCAGGATAGCTTGAGCTCATCTTGACGAAGTTCGCACGGCGAGGAACAGGAGGCACAGATGGAATGGCATCGGCGAGTGGTTTGAAGTCCCACAAGCCTGTGGTGTCATTGCGTGTTGCTACCCGAATCTTTGCATGCCAATGCCTGTCCACAGCAGTAATACTAGTGTTCGCAGTATGCAGATCGCGCAGATGCTTGTACATCATAACCACTCGCTTACGGTCTGGGATCTTCTTCATGACTTCAATAAAGGTGTCAAGGTCTGGTGTCGGCTGGTTGTCAACTTCCTGAATCAACCACCCTGATGTGTAGCCGTCGGCGAACCTGAAGGAACCAGCTGCCTCGCAGACGTACACACCCGCGCCTTTCAGCGAGATGGCGTAGAGGCGAGCTTGTTGGTATGAGAGGTCGTGGAAAGATGCGCCTGCGACAGAAACAAACTTGTCAGGGGTGATGGCATGGAGATCGCCAACGTCTAGCTCAACATCCATGTTCTCCCCAGCACGCTGTATGGTCACAGAGATGGTCTTGCCAACGTTGTCGTCAAGAATGGCATCAAGTCGGACGAACTGTGTAAGCAACTCTCCGTTGACACGCAACAGAAGATCACCTTCTTCGACCTTGGCAGACGCAGGCCCTTGGGGTAGAACCACCTCAGCGACCAGCATGCCTGTCTCCTTGGGGAACTGAGTGCGGATCTCTTTCTCCAGGGCAGGAGAGAGACCTAGTCTCCGGCACTCGTCGAAGGGCTTCAGTATCCACTGGGTCTGGATGGTGCCTCTAGATACATGCTGGCCTTGGCGGACAAGCTCGAGAGCGCGTAGCGGTCGGTCCAGGGGCAGGAAGTAGTCGGTCGCGGCACCATCAGCACGTCCACCGGCTTGCAGCGCAACTGCAAATCCGTCGCGGTCTACTACGGGACTGCCCGAGGATCCTCCACTCGCTGCAGCTGCAGCCTGAATGTAGTTGGTGTTGAAGTCGGAGTAGCCCTCGCCGTATTCGGGCGCATTGCGATCCAATCGACTGATAACTCCCGACAAGATACTGAGCTTCTCTCCGGCATCGTTACCCACGACGCGAATCTCGACGCCGACTTTGGCGTTGTCTGGGCGGAGCTTGAGGGCGGTGACGGGCATGTACTTGATCTTCTTGGGGTCGAAGCGGAGGATACCGAAGTCGTGGACAGGATCGCGGTAGACGGGGTGGACGTCGCATTCCTCGTGGTTATCGAAGATGCAGTAGCCGATGAAAGGTCCGGCGCCGACAACATGCCTGTTGGTGAGGATGTAGCCCTTCTCAGCATCCACGACAAAGCCAGTCGCCTCTGAGCTAATGGCCGGGTCTGTGTCAAACGAGCACGTCTGACAGAAGTGTATCGATACGACGCTCTTGACCACATTCTCTATAGTTCGTTGCCACTCTGCCGTGTCCTGTCCTGTGACGGCTGTGATATGCGCCGATGATGGAATCTCCTCGTGGGAGCTGTACTCGCTATGCGCATCGTCCATGGCCTCTTCCTGGTCGGGCGAGTGCGACATGACTCCGTTGGAGGTGTGTGCGTCTATTTCGGGCTTGATCTGCTTCACCGGACGGTCTGTTGTTGGTGACGTTGGTGGTTGCTTGCGCTTGGTTGTGCCATTTTGTTCCATTGGCGGCGGATTATTTATAGACGAGGACGTGTGTAGGGGGCGCTTGCCGAGAGCAAGTGCGCTAGGACTGTGAAGTCTCGTAGAATATCGCGTGTGAAGGAGGGAGAGCGGTCGGGAGACGGGCAACGGCAGGGTGCGTGAAGGTGTTGCAAGGAAACTTCGTTTGCAGGCGGCGAGAGACACTCGGCCAAGCAGCATGCCAACCCTGGGTGAGGCGTCTAAAGGAAGGAGGCAGCGCAAACGCAACTGCTGTAGATTAAAAGTAGTAGGCGCAAAGAAGAAAGGCAAAAGACGCAGTCGATGAGTATGCGATGGCTTTGAGGCCAAGAATGAAAGTGCCTGAAGAGCCCTGCAGCTGCATGCGCCACGGTCCCCCGGTCAAGCTTCGCCGCATCTCGCGAACCATCGTCATTCGTCTCCACTCGCATCCACTCCATAGCAGCAGTGAATACATGCTCCGGTCATATCTCAAGCATGCCACACTGCGCGCCCTTTCCCAAAGCTCATGAGCTAAACTTTCATGTCGCGTCAAACACGGGAGATGAGCAAGATGGCACAGGTTCATTGCGACGCCTATCGAGTTGTGGTTCTCAGGCCGCTCAACGGCAGTATCTAAGTCCAGCCACATGAACAAAGCAAAGAAACCTTGGAAGACACGGAGTTGAGCGCCCGATAGCTACTTGAGAACGCCGAGCCGTTTCAGTATCCGCCCAATGTGCCACAATGCGACAGCACAACCAGCCGATGCAGGGCAAAGAGACAGATTCTTAGATCATCTCTTCATCCTTTACCTCGGCAGCCTCATTCTTCTTCTTGCGTGGACGCGGGGTGGCCTTCTTCTTCGGTGAACCCTCAGCAGGATCATCCTCGCCCTCAACGGTCTTGTTCTTGCGCTTCTTGGGCGTCGTCTTGGGTTTGTCCAGAGTGGCGCCAACTCCGTCACCGGCAGCAGGGCCCAAAGGGAGGCCATTCTTGATCTTCTCCATATCTTCTCCATGCTTCTCCTTCATACGGAGAATAAGCTTGCGGCAAGAGAGCGTGGTGCGGCCGGCGGGAACAGGGCAGGTCTGGGATATGTATAAGCGTGGTAAACCATCATCAGGTAACACTTACGTTGGTCTTGGACTCGAACTTTTCGGTGTCAGCTGCATGCTCGCAAAGAACCATGAGGTACGCGATCTGTATCACAGTCAGTGGCGGGCTTGATAGAGACATAAGGCTTGTATGCAGCACAGTCGATCCAATCGGTGCCAGGTAGGAGCCTGGCAGTGAGCTCATTTTCATATCTCATACCTTTTCTTGTTCAGACCAGGCGCCGCCGCTTGATGCCGCCTTACTGGGTGTCTTCTGTTCTTCGTCTGACATTTTGACTGTGTATGCTGATATTGGGAGTACAGTCTCAAGGTTGCGTGGCAACAGAGAAAGCCGAGAGAAGAAGGGAAGCGGAGCTGTTGGTCAGACTGGTGAGTTAGAATTCACCTTCACATCGGGCTTTCGTCCATGCGCTTGCCCTGCTTAATGAGGAAGGTGAGCGATGAAACAACGGCATTTGCTTCTGAGCATGTTATTCACCACAGTGAGCCTCACATTGTGTGCACTATCCGGGAGCCACCAACCCTTAAAAATGTGCATTACACAAGCCACGAGACCACATTGTTGGGTATATTGTTCTCTTTCCGTCATCTTCATACTGTGTTTACGCTCTCTGAATAATCATAGAAACATCTGTCGTCATTACTCTGAAGATCCCGCGTCTTTCAGTCTTCGTTGGGCTTAGATGGAGGATAGCTGACGGCAATTTCACTGTCATCTTTCCTGTTACAACTGAACCGCCTAGATATTCGTCCGAACTTCCTTGATCTACTGCCTTTAACGGCTTCTTGGTTTTAGGGAAATAGGAAGATGGTGTCGGCCTGTAGCGTAGTCATGTCATCAGCCAATCCACTTGTAGCACTAGCCTAGCTCAAGCTTCGCCCCACAACCCACCTACTGCTCGTCTCTCCATCTTACATTACAGCTTCCACCTCACACGAAGTAAAAACACCATGCTCGAAATAGCCTGCTTCAACGCTTCTTCTGCCACCGTAGCAGCTCAAGCAGGCGCTGATCGGATTGAACTATGTGCCAACTACTCCGCTGGCGGGGTCACACCTTCCCACTCCACACTACAACACGTACGCAAGGAAGTCACCATTCCAATCAATGTCATGATTAGACCAAGAGCTGGCAACTTCGACTACTCAGACGAAGAGTTTACTCTTATGAAGAAAGACATGGAGGTGCTTAAGCCTCTAGCTAGTGGATTCGTCTTTGGCATTCTAGACGCCAATCGTCGTATAGACCAAACTCGCAACCGTGAATTGGTTGAAGCCGCAGCCCCGCTTCCATGCACGTTTCATCGTGCAGTCGATGAGGCCGAGGATTTGGAAGAAGCTGTTGAAACAGTGGTCAGCTGCGGGTTCAAGAGCCTGTTAACTAGTGGTGGGGCGAAGAGCGCCTTCCAAGGTGCTGATAAGCTCTATCAATTACATTCAAGATTTGGAGCAGATCTATCGCTAATAGCCGGTGGAGGGGTCAGAAGTACAAATATCGAGGAGCTCAAGAGGAGGACCCACCTAACATGGCTCCACTCAGCAGCCATCACAGCACCTGGAGAAGACGTGAATTGCCAGGAAGTCAGCAAGATGCAGAGAGAGTTATCAAAAGTGGCATGACACAAAGCAAAGAGTCCGATGTGAAGGGTAGGATATTATTCATTAATCGTGGCACATCAGTACTGGATTGCCACAGTACGTGTAAACATGCGTATGCTAAAGCTCCAGCGGGTATCATCCATTCAGGAATCCCTTGAATATAACTCCTAAGATCAATCCGTCCACCTAGTACACTGCGGCGAGCATAGCTTCCAATAAATCAGCTGCTTACAAGAGCGCATATAGCAAGGCACCGACAACCGACATTCCGAAGGACCTTGTTGTGTCAACAGACATCTGTCCAGCTGCTCCGGTGCTTTGAGGTGCAGCTGAGGCAGTGTTTGTTTGAGTGACGACGTTGGTCTTTGCGGCGATCGTTGTGGCCTGGGTGATGGTGGTAGCGGGAACGGTGGTAGACACCTTCACTCCGCTGACAGTGGCTACCTCAACGGTTTCCGCAACGGTGGTGGGTGCAGAGTATGTTACGGCTGGAATAGTGGTGGTATAGACGATGATGGATCCGAGTTCTGTGACTGGGATCGCTCCTCCAACACCAGTGCCGGTGTATTGGGCGGGAATTGAAAGGGTCGACGTGTTTGGCTTCTCAGCCTCGTTGTTGGAGTAGATGTTGGCACTCTGGCCATCCTTGGTGTAGTCTCCGCTGACGAGGTTGACTTCAGTACCCCCGGAGCTGTATGTTCCAGCAGCAACGTTTCCGAAAGAGCCGTCCGGGAATTGGAAGTTTGTGGTGAACTTGTCATAGCACATGGGGATGTTGATGTTCTGAACATTGACACAGTCCAAGCTTTGGCGGCAACCGAAGCCGTCCGCACGGCCATGAACAGATCGCTTGTCGAAAGTGATACCCTGGATAGAGGAGAGGATATCGGTATAGAGAGAGCTGAGCTCCGTGCCAACTGCTGGTGGGGTTGTGCCGGTCGCTCCTTGCGGTTGGCATGCCTCGTAAGGGTCGTCGCTAGTGGCCTTCGACATAGAGTCAAAAGGAGACGCAGTTGCGACAGCCGCAAGAGCGAGGGGTAGGAACTTCAAAGACATTTTGAAGTAGGGTACTGTGTGGTATATTGTGGGTGGCGTTGCCGGTAGTAGATTACGGATACCGAACGGTGATTATAGGTATTACACGGTGTAGTACTGAACGACCGACGATTATCAAGACTTGTAACGAATGGCAAACGCAAGCGAGCGAATGTGAAAGCGAGTGACGGGAGGGTACGACGGATTGCTTGCCAAGGGGCAAAGGAGCAGCCTCGAGTCTATATACTGACTGTACAAGTAGCCCATATCGCTGGTGCTAACAGGGTTTAATCAGGTTCGTCTCTACCATGCCGAACTAGCCAACCGGCACCATGCGCTTTACTGACGGCGCGCCACAATACGATAGGACCTTTACCAACTGACTGGGATCCGTTATCCGTTGGGCGATCATGTGTTCATCCCCAACACCTTGCCCAGGGGCGGCCCTCGTATGGAGAGTCGCGAAGGATTGGCTGTCAAACACACGCGACCCGTACATGTGGCCCCCGCCAACAACAACACCATCGCGTTTAGCAGTTCTAGGAAGGTCGGCCGCGATGCCAGAATCTCTGCTCATGCGACCAGTCAAATCCCTTGGGCCTATGTTCACCGCTAGCCAGTAAACGAGGTCAAAGTCGCGTGATTCGACGGGAGATAAATCGGCAAACTCCAACCGAAGCGCTGCGAACAGACACTTCTTCATCCCTCAGGCAAGCCACGACACGGCCTCTAATTCGACATCACGAGAATTTTCCATTGCCGACACGCTTCCGTCTCTCCAGGTTTGGCCAAGTCTACCACGCCTACCCATCAACAAATAAAGAAAATGCGGGCTCAACGTCATACCGGCCGCGCCGAATCCACCTCGACAAACACTAAAAGCATGGCCCTGGTTGGTTCCTGACAGGCACACCCACAGAACTTGCGGCCACGCGCACGCTGCCGTCCCAAATTTCTCTGCAGCGCTAACACGCGATGGGTGTTGTACCATGATGATCATTCCCCTGAGCAGCGATAGCCTGGGTGACAAGACTTCGCGGACAGCTGGGCATTCGCTCGAGCCTTACCTTATTTTATCTTGCCCAGGTAAACCACCAAGCCTTTGTATCGTCATCCCAAGATGGCTCTTCGGCTAACAAAGAGCACGATAAGAATAGCCATTTTTTTTCTTCACCGTCTAGATCGTGCACCATTGTTGGCATCGAAAGCCAATGAAACCCGATGCACACACAAGGAAAAAGATTGCCAATTAACAATTCGCGCAGTAATAGTGCAATAATCCGCGGTTATTCGGCACTGGATTGGGTTTCTGACCGAGCCTTGTGTGAGTCGCCAGTCGCACCAACCGCGATTGCTATCATGAGTGCAGTGCGATACTATCCGGACTAAGCAAAAAGGAACACCTCTATCATCGATTCATTCCCGGGCCGCTTCTGACTAGACACAATCTCGCGTGCGTTGTTCCTTCCTACGGTTTTACCCCACTATAACGCCAAGTTGTAAGCAAGGCTAGCTAATAATAGAGTTTTCTGATGATCGACGCAGGAACAAGGCCTGCATACACAACGTTGTGGTTGCATAAGGCACGCTGCCACAAGCATGGTTGTTCTTCATGTGTCTGGAGTCGCAGTGCAACCAACTGTGTAGATCTGGGCATCAAGCTTTCCACTGTGGATGCTGCGGATAGGCGCGCGCCGACACAACCCCAGAGGAATTTTCCAATGAAATTCGATACGAGGTAGGACCGATAGTGTTGGATCCGCTGTTATGCGATGCGACCGGAGGTGCAACCTGCATACGGTAGGGTGTACGTGCAGTAGCCGAACCACATCGTGAACGACATCTAGAACTTCAAGGCCACTTTCTGTATTCCTGGGTCGACGAGTTCCTTTGCATCGTGTGTTGAAACTTACATTCCTTCTTTTTCTTCGCGTACAGCGACGCGACGCTGTGATGCTTGCGACATTGCGTCAGAGATGTCTGGCGCATGCGAGGATCGCGACAAGACCGAAAATAATGTTGTTACGATACAAGACCGATCGGGCTTATTGATTTTGTTTGAAAAGCATATGAAATTACACAGGCGACAGATTCTCATCGGCCAAACTACCCTCTGCTAGATTCTCAACGGCGATGACTGAGATAAGCTGACTACCAAGAACTGTTCTGGAGTATATATTAGGTTCGGCATTTGTGAGGCGCTCCGAATAGGAGGAGAGTCCTGGTCATATGCCCAGCATGCCTCAGGAAGCCAAGAACAAAATAGGGTTTCGTTTGAGCGGACGGGGTACGGTTAACAAAGTGGAACGAAGAGTCGTTCTCGACAGTTTACCAACCATGCATTCATAGTAGATGGTTATCGCTTTGAGGTTGAGTGGCCTACCGCCAGCGAGACACATACGCGCCGATCTGCTAGAACCTTCCAACTACTACGACCAAGAGGCGACTGTCGAACAAGAGCTTCCGGCAAGTCGATATGCCGTTCTGTGTTTCGCAGTTCATGAATACTGTGTGTACATCTTCGAATCTCAAAAAGGTAGGACGCTGTCACTGTTGCTTTTGTCTCGCACAGATGCATGTACAGCCAGCGCCCCGGGCTCACATTGTTTAGCCGTCAAGCTCCTCGCAGAACACTTCAAGTTCTGAATCTCCTAGCCTTTCAAATAGGACCTGTGGATAGAGGAACATTGTCACGATTTGCGTTTGTGACGATGCGATCGCGAGCCTGCTAGGGCAGATAGACAACGCAGAATTCAAGTCGAAACACATTCTGCATCTTCTTTGTATGTTTTCGCATTGGTACCGACTAAGGAGGTGTAGGCAATTTCGCCGCATAGCCGCGCCGGGATTGGTGCTCATCCTAGAAACGTTCCCCAATATACCTTCACTCCGGGCTGTTGTTGTATGCCTAGAAGGCATCCACTGGCAATTTTGAGCCCGCATAAAGGACTTACATTTTCTAAGAGAAGCAACAGTTTAACGCAGTTCCTTCTAATGGCCTATCTTGAACCACTTCCTGCAGTCTTGACTCTGGTTGAAATCGATGGGCTCACAATCCTGGTCTTGTTCAGCGGCTTCGGACAACGGAACGAACCCTCATCGAAATGCGTTCAAAGTACTATCCAGCTTCAAAGGCCTGCAGTTTCCGCGCCGCGAAAGGAGCCGATGCACCAACTTCATCATTGGTTGGGTGTATACGACAGTGGCATCCGATGGAGAAATTTATGTGCTGCTCGACCGGTCAAAAATAACGGCACTTCCTGTATCTTTCTCTGGAAAAGGGAAAACCTCCTTGCGCCGCAAATATAGCTTTCGATGCATTTGGATATGCATCTGGTATAAGTATCATGGTTAGACCACCTGTACATGATTCGGGTGGCTGTGTGACAGCGCTTGGCGTTACCTCTCGATTATCCAACGTTCGGTTCGATTTGACGCGTGTGTTCCCGTTGGACGCTTCCAGGTTTATTGTGCGCTTTCACTGCTCGTCTTTACATTAAAAAAAGGCGCTGACCCTCAGTGTTCGTTCTGTGATATAGCCGCCTATCAAGGCGGGTCCTGCTCTTCTCAGGGTGCATCTCCAAGTGCGCTTGGCCATCCTCGCCCTCCATCACTGACTTATCTCTTTACATTATGACGTCATCGAAGTCCATCTCTCATCGTAATTTGGAGAAGAAGACACGTTGTAAAGAGGGCGCAATCGCTGTCATGCGGCTAATACCGCAAGCCCGGAGAAGTCGGCGATTCCAATCAAACTTCCACAATCCCGAAAGAGATCGAAATGCGACATGCGTAAGCAGTTGCGTCAGAGCCTCAGGTATTTGCATAGTAGACGCCAGGCAACAACATTTGAGAACGCCTCGAACGTGTTTCTCGCGTTTTGTCGACTAGCCGGTGATATCAGAAACCGTTGAAACCTGCTGCGCCACTTCTATGGGCGCAGCCCTAAGCCCAATCTGGTATTGCTTGCGAGAAAAACTAGCCACTACAATGACCCCTTCCTGCGATGCGCATCTCGGTGAGCTAGAATAACCGACTCGGACTGCCATGTCATCCCTCGTCCGGTTTCAGAATGCAGTTTACAATCTTGTCGTTGTCTCCCTGTCCTTCCTATAGGTCAATTCCTATACGCTAGATACACGCTCGGTGGTCCGATCGCGAATTCCTTCCTTAGCGAGTGTTGTTTGCACAGTCATCCGCACGGATTGTCCGCTCTACGTCAACGTCAATTTTCTTGTGCTTACCATCGCGTGCCTCGGTTTATGGGAGCTCACGTTTCCGTTGATATACAGGGCTTGTCAGACATTGGCGAGCTGAAGCTTTTCGCTAGGATTAAGCGGTAACGTAGGCTTGATGGTAGTCGTAGGCTTCAGAGGCGGAGTTGCCTGATATCCGATTAGGAATATTGTTGTTTACTGGCAGAATCTTTATAGTCATCAGCTAAGGGCTAGAATTGCCAGACAGGTGTTGTCTTCGGGCCTGGAGTTTCAAAACGCCGCCTCATTGTCTTCATTCACTCCTTGGAATACATTTATATCACAATGGTTTACACCGGAAAGCCGAGCAGGGGATGTGGCATGTGTAAGAGCCGCAGAATCAAGGTATGTCTTAGTACCTCGCGACAATTACTCCTTCCTCTTGATTAGCGATGTCGCCTCCATGCATATCCGGATGCGCTTACTGACTATGCATAGTGCGACGAGAAGCGACCAACATGTGGCAATTGCAAGAAGTCGGCTCGAACATGTCCCGGTTATCCCGACGACTTCGATTTGGTCTTTCGAGATGAAAACAAAGCTATGGCCAAGAAGGCAAGGAAATCCTCTGGAACGACAGCATCAAGCAACAGCACCGGCGCGTCAAGTTCCAACCCTTCTCCGCATCTGTATGTACTACGCTATTTTGTCTATCCCGTCCCGCTGCATACCTTTGACGGATACCGACAAGCTTTGCCGAGCTATGGGTACACTAGTCGTGGTATATGGTCTGTGGGTATTTGCATGTGATAGACCCAAGCCGCAGATCCACATTGCCCTTGTAAACCTCTACTAACGTCCCAGGTCACCTTCTTCGACATTTGATGTATCGCCAGGAGAAAACGGAGTACCAGGAGAGAAAGCCTTCCAGATAATAACATCACGATCACATTCTCCATCAGACTTAAGCCAATCACAACAGATACTGGCTTTACCCAATTACACAACACCACCATTACCTCTTAATCAGGCGTTTGATTTCGAAGCGTTCGTGTGGAATCTCGAAAATGCAGTGCCCCCAACTATCTCACTTGCGCCAGAAGCCGAAGCCGTACCCTTCTTCTTCAAGAACTTCATTACCCTACCACAACAAGCCGAAAGCACCAGAGGCTACCTAGAGTATCTCGTGCCTCTCTACAATCGTGCTCGCCCATCCTCCGTTCTTCACCTAGCCACTACTGCTGTTGCAATGGCAACATGCGGCCAGTATCCTGGCCGACAAGAGCTACTCCGGGAAGCAGTATCTACCTATGGCAAAGCTATCAAGAAACTGAATGAAGATCTGAAAGATCCAGTGATGGCGAAGAGCGATGAAAGTGTGCTTGCCATTCTTATGTTTTCACTGTATGAGGTAAGTAAATCAGTCACTTTCCGCAGGCCTTCAACCAGTTGTGCGACATGTTTCTGAAGCTAACAAATGCCAGACAATAATGAGCACAGACGATACTATCACAGCGTGGGGAAACCATGTCGACGGTGCTGTCGCGTTGACAAAGTTAAGAGGCATGGATCAGTTCAATGACCCAATCTCTCATGCCATGTTCCGCGCTGTACGGACGATGATGGTAATGATGACCATGCCACAAACTGCATCTCGAAAGCTAATCAAGAGCAGATCACAAGCTGCGTTCAACGCTCGAAGCCTATCGACTCGTTCCCTGGCGCGGGAGGCTGGGTTGGTAAAGGCGACATATCAGAGGAAAATGCTGCCAACCGCCTGACACTCATCTGTATCGACCTTCCAAACCTCCGTGCCCGCGCAAACACCCTCACTACCACGCCATATGACCTGGCCTACGAATCAGAAGCGAAGCAAATTCTCGAGTTCGCACAAATGGTCGACGACAACCTCGAAGAGTGGTACCGTACACTACCCCCCGAATGGAAACATCGTATCATTGGTGTTGTTAGCGAAAGACTTGCCCCTGAGGATATTGCGCTGGCAGAAAAATGGCCAGGAGAACAGCATGTATATCATGACGTGCCATTGGCGAGTATAATGAACGACTACCGTGTATGCCGGATATTCTGTCGGCGAGTAATCATGGCATGTGTGACATGGCTGAGTTTCAGCGGTAACTATGCAGATGGCGACGAGGCATGGAATAAGAGTGTGTTTGTTATCCAGATGATGGTGGATGAGATCAGTGCGTGTATACCGTTTCATATGAGCTACGAACTACAACCAATGGCCAAGGAGATGGGCCAGGAACAGAATGGTAAGTGATGGTAGTTTTAACAGAAGACTGGGAGTGTGCTAACCGCTACATAGCTGCGGAGGCCTATGGAGGGTACTCATTAGTGTGGCCGCTGTACGTTGCAGCAAACGCTGAGACGGTACCGCAACAGCAGCGTGACTGGTTGCTAGGTCGACTATCAGTCATTGGCACCAAGTTTGGGCTGAGTAGTGCTCAGGTGCTGGTATTAGCACGGAGACATGTTCTGACATGTGGGCCTATGTTTCCTTGACGCGAATCGACGTGTGTTACTAGACATGTAATAATACTGAAGGAAGAAGTTGTTTCGAGTTCGCGATAGGCAACATCGCACGTGTATTATATATAGCTTTGGTGGTCACAGGACATGGCATTTCGGTCGGAATCAAATACGAAGTAAATGTACCGACCGCTCGGGGGATAATCATCCATATGGAGCAAGTGCTCTTGCGACCCACCGGTTCGACGCGGATGATCAATGTGGAGAACCCCGTCTTGTCACGCGTCAGGCATCCCGAGCAGGACCCTCGTTAACAAGGCATCATCAGCACCCTTCACATGGCAAGCTCCAGCGTCGCCGCTCACATGTCGCAATCATTGATCGAGGAATCGCCCGCGGCGATCAGCTGCGGCCCGTTTCCGTGCCAAGCCTGACCCTTCAATTCGTGTTCGGGGTTTCATCTGCTCAGCCACGGCATCCAGAACGACGGCCGACTGTGGGTCCTCAACCCTTCAACAATTTGCGAAGCTTGTGAAAGATTTCTTTTTCTACGTCTACTTGTATCGCACCATCCTCTGCCTCATTCATACACGCACTCAGCCTCCGCAAGGTTTACCCCGCCACCACGCACGTCAGCACTACACCAGCCTCACTCACTACGTCACCACCACCACCACCACCATGGGCGCAACAAACCTCATTCCCCTTGTGATCCTCTTTGGGGTCGTTGGAGGCTTGGGATGGGTGGGCTACCAGGTAACACAACTCCTCTGTAGTTTGCGCATTGTATCGCTAACATGTGTGTCTCCCAGATCTTCCTCTACTCCAACGAGCTCGCTGAACGCGGCGTCAAGAAGATGGAAAAGAAGAACGTTGTCTTCACGAAAGACGGCGCAAAAGTCGGAGTCAAGGAAGTCAGCAACGAGACGTATGCGGATAAGACACAACGCGCGTTTGTCAAGACGTGGAACGCCGCGCACGACGGGTGGGTGGTTGATGATTGAATACAACGCGCAAGTGCACTACTGACTATGTCGAAGGGGATCCCCGGTTGCACGCAAACCTACGAGATAGTCACAACTTCATGTGCGACCCGAGTCCAGGCCGACATTTCTTTTCGATGATACCTTTTTTCTTCCTCATGCGCCATCCCATATCGCAGCTTGTTTCGCACCAAGTGTTAGTAGGCGTAAGGATGGTCAGCAGTTTGTATTGACAGGCGTTGGGACGGCTTATATCACAATAACATATACGAGCGTTGACGCGTGTGGTAGCACGCAGTGTACCCACTTCTCATCTGCAGCCTTTCTAGGCAGGAGAATGGAGAGACGATTCTTTATTGGATTCCATCAATGCGGTATGAATCTATTCTATTGCCAACTGATCGCATGACAGCCTTTGCTATGGCCAGACGCCAATGCACCTGTTGGTCCACTTCTGCACACGATGTCACACGCAATCAAAAGAGACCAGGTTTACACCCTACAAGTAACAGAATGATGTAACTTCGCAGGGCGGCAAACCATCACGACGGGTCTGTTGAACCCCACTCCATGTACTCTACGGGTGTCACCGTCCGTGTTATGTGAAAGACGCTCATCCAATACCTGAACTCGCGATGAATCTGGAAGCTAAGTTCCAAGGCAACAGAAGAAATGGCGCAGAAAGATGATATTAGACCCAGGAAGAGCTTAGGAGGCAACGGAGAGAAACAGAGCGACAGTGCGAAGAGCAAAGAGATTGGGTACGTGGACAGTTAACTACTCCTCGGCCGAGATGATTGCGCATTGTATGAGGGGCAACTGGAGTCTAAATGTGCTGATCCATTGTCGATTCGTGCTAGCTTGTCCCTGGGACAAGCAATGTCTGGAGCTTAGTGCCGCGGACCATCCGACGCTCCGTCGAGCCGCATACTGCTTCAACGTTTGCGTTGCATCAACCATGAATATCTTTAACGCATGCGTGATGTTATGGCGATCTCTAGGTTGGCGAGTCAGGTGGTTCTGTTGCTATATTATACCTCCATGCCATACCTACTCCTGACGAATTCACCAGATTGACAAATTCTACTTCAAGTTGTTGCCGTTCTTCCCCCTAGTCATGACGTTCTTAGCGAGTATATTGCCCGCAGACTCTGAGCTTTCCAGCTTCAAAGGCGCTATCTTTTGGTTTGCAGTGTTTTCAGCATTGGTGAGTACATGCTCCACGTTTCTTATCTTGCTGTCACTTCCGGTCTATCCTTTACAGTCTCCTCAATGCTTCCACATTGATAGATCAACCGGAGTTCAAAGCAAAACATGAATTGTGCCGAACTATGGGCATCGACTGACATCGAGTAGGCCACCATCTATGCTGTTTATTCAGTTATATACAATGTTTTTTTCCACCCTCTCAAGCACATCCCCGGTCCATTCTTCGCACGCGCGTGCGGTATTCCCTGTGCTCTACATATGTTTGACGGTAGTTCGGTCCAATGGGTAAAAGAGTGCCACGATAAGTACGGCGATGCGGTTCGTGTGACCCCAAGTGAAGTCAGCTTCATCTCAGGAGAAACTGCTTGGCAAAGCATCTACGGCTTCCGTGTAGGCAAGAGCAAGAACACCGGATATTACCTCAAGGACAGGAATTGGTAGTGAGTCAAGTCTGTTCGAAGACGCGAGCAAAAGATGCTGATCAGAAAACAGCTTAGCACCTGCCAATGGCGTTGAGTCAATCATCATAGCAGATGAAGCAGGACACTCGAGAATGCGACGTAACCTCGCACACGCTTTCAGTGATAAAGCCCTGCGAGGACAAGAGAGTCTCATTCAGTCTTATGTCGATCTTCTCGTTCAGCGCATGGGCGAACACGCCGCTCAAGGCAAAGACATGGATATCATGACCTGGTACAGTGAGTAACCTATGGATTATGGTGTGCTTCGCATTTGGACTGATCATATGTGCAAAAGACTATGCAACTTTCGATATCATATCCGATCTCACCTTCGGCGAACCACTCTACTGCCTGCGCGATTCCGTCAAACACAGCTGGGTTTCCATCACCTTCAAGTCCATAACGGCCACCGGTTTGAACGCTGCTCGCAATAAGCATTTCATCTTCAGGTGGTCCAACTCCCTGCGCAGCATTTTCCAAGACAACTCAGTAGCTGCGCGCGCACGACTCGAGTTCTTCGAGCGCGCTCGCGATCAGGTCAGCAAGCGACTAGCGAAGCTTGACAGCGAGAAAGGCGTGGAAAAACCAGACTTCTTCACCCACATAGTGAACAACCAAGAGAAGGAAGCAACAAGAATGACCAGAGACGAAATGGACAGCAATGCAGTCACCTTTCTCATTGCAGGTAGCGAAACTACTGCTACAACATTGTCGGGCGCTACCCATTTCCTCCTCCGTAACCCCTCTGCGTATACTAAACTCGCTGCCGAAATCCGCTCTCGTTTTTCTTCTCCTGATGAGATCACTATGGAAGAAGTCAACAAGCTCGAATACCTCATCGCCGTCTTTCAGGAAACTCTACGACTTTATCCACCCGTTGCCACAGGCTTTCCTCGTGTTGTGCCAGCGGGAGGCGACAATATTTCAGGCCACTATATCCCTGGCGGCACTTCGGTATACTGTTCCCAGCACGCGATGTATCATTCTGAGCGCAATTTCAAGGACCCAGAGCTCTTCGTTCCGGAACGCTGGTTGGGCGAGGAACGCTACAAGGATGATAAGAGGTCGACGCTGAATCCGTTCAGCTTTGGACCAAGGAACTGTTTGGGCAAGAAGTACGTATACCTTTTCTTTTCTTCTCGCCTCCCTTCTTGTTTAACAACAATCATTTTTCCACCTGCCTGCTCAGTCAAGAAAGACCAAAAGACTCACGAGCTGACATTATGGTTTTACTAGTCTTGCATACGCGGAAATGCGTCTTATCCTCGCTAAGATCGTCTTCGCTTTCGACCTCGAACTCGTAGAGAAAGAGAGGGATTGGATGGGTGAGCAGAAGGTTTTCACGCTCTGGGATAAAAGCGCGTTGATGGTCAACATAAAGCCCGTACATCGTTAGTGGAGTATGGTGTTGGATTGAGAGTGACCAGCTATCAGAAGCGGGTATCTTGGGTTGTTCAACAGCGTGAAGGTATTAGTATAAAATGAGAATCTTTTCGCTTATTTTTAAATAGAGTAGGGATGGATATTAGATCTTTTCACGCATTGTTCGGAAAATTCGGAATGGACACGATGTGAGAGGCCATATCCTAGTTCATAGCGCAACTCAATGCGACAATCGAACTTTTTTATTGGCTAAAACGTCAGATCTGCGGCAACAAGAGCAATGATGAAGGGTATCACATGTCATTTGCATTCTAACATCCTCACTAATTATGCCCCTATCCCCCACTCAAATGCTGAACTTTTGCTTATCCTTGTCCAAAACGCCATGAAAATGCATACACAACACCCACTACAGCCCATCGACTCCAGATACGAATTCAGCCTACCAACCCCTACGCTTTCCTCTCTCCTCAGCACTCCTCTCCTTCCGCTTCACTCTCTTAACATCATGTCTCCGTCTCTTCTCCTTGCCAACCTTCTCTGGATCCAGCACAGCGTCGACCTTCCTCTTTCTCCTCCTCTCTTCGCGCCTCTCGCGGACGCCTCTCTGCACTTCAGCCATGACATTCAGATACTCTTGCGTACCGAGGCGTTTCTGCAATGTGTTCATAACCTCGCGTGCCTTATCAGCAAGAGATTTGTACGGGTCGTTGGGCGCGTTATTGGAGACGAGGGCAGCGGAGGACTTGGGGAAAGTCGCAGTAGCATCGGTGAGTGTTGATAGAGTAGTAAGAAGATGTGGGAGGGATGTAGATAGAGGTTCGAGAGGGAACTTGGCAGCGATAGTGTCGAAAAGGTTCATGATGGCCGTCTTCGCATTCATGGTGCTCTTATCTTTGCGGACAATACCCGAGAGCCGGATCATCAGGCGGTGGATGGCTGCTGGTGGAGCGTCTTCCGGTTTCTTGGGTTTTGCGGTCTCGGGTGGAGGTGAGAAGCCGCCGAAATCTTCCTCATCGTCTGTGGCCGCTGTATCACCGTTCGTTGGAGCTACAGTCTCTCCCCCTTCTTCATCGTCATCCGTCTTTTGCCAATGCCACTTAGCGCCGTTGACAGCGAGGCATCGGGCCAGGAAAGCGATGTTCTTCACACTCTGCATGCAGAGCTGTTCTGAGACTTCCGGGTTGAGCAGGTTTCTTAGGAAGGCATTGCAGAGCTGCGTCATGCTCTGTTCCGCTAGCTGCAACCCGCCTGATCCTTCGAGGGGCAAGGCCTCCAGACCAGTATCCTTGTTTGACACTCCTAGATGCGCGAAGTACGTACCCAGGAGCTCTGCAGCTTTCAGCTTGACCCACAAGTGCGGGTAGGTTACGCTGGCCTGCACCGCCGTCCAGAGGCTGTCTTTGTTCGATGCGAACATGGTCTCCGTGTACTTCTTACAGATCTTGGAGAGCAGAGTGAGAGAGTAGTATAGCAACTCCCAGTCGTCTTCGTCACGGCGTGTTAAGCACTCGTCGATTGTTGAGTCCAGTCGGTCAAGAACGTATGTAAGTTCTTTCGGCTCTTCATCCTCCTCCATCGCCTCGAAGTAGAAACCGAAACATTGAATACCAAGACGCTTCAGGCCAACGTTTTCGTCCTGTTCCAACCAGCTCTTAAGATCAGCCGCAAAACTCTGCAGTCGCTTGTCGCTGGCGTGTTGGAATAGCCTCTTGATAAGTAAGCTAGCCATCTCACGGCATTTGCTTGAGTCATCGTTGGCCACAGTGTTGATCAGCGGCAGGAACATGATACCATGATACTCGTCCTGTGCCTTCTCCGGGAAGCGGGGCAGCGCCTTTCCGATTATGAGGTCGAGTGCTTCCATGACTGACTGCCTGCCTTCTACATGCTCGTATCGGAGGTTCTTGAGGAGAAATTCGATCTGCTTCTTGAAGCGCTTCTCGCTCTGCGTGTACGAAGTCAGGAATTGGAAGAAGTGCGAACGGGCAATGTCGCGTGCGGATTTCGTCTGGTTGGTGATCATCATCTCGGCCACCCTGTCCATGGCTTCATACATCTCAGGAACATCGATATGCCGATTCATGACAGCCTTGAGGAAACCAAAGCTGACACCAGAGCGATCTGGCTCGTCCAAATCGGGCATCATGCGCTTGAGTAGGTGTCCGATATCTCGTTCCTTGATTTGTACATTCGGTCGCTCACGTAGAACAGCTGATACCAGCTTCAATGAAGCCTGCGCAAGTTCTGTGTTGGACGAGAGTGCGCCCTTAATGGCGCGCATCGCTTCGTCGATGTACACGGGGCAGTTCGTATCGAGCTCCGTCATAGGTACCTTGATTATGGTTGTGAGAAGACGGACAGCCGAAACTTGCACTTCTTCTTGTCCTTGTACCATTGCGTCGCCGATAATCGGAAGGAAGCCTGCGAGGTTCTGGGGTGTCTGGAGGTCTTCGTGCTTGCGGAGCACAGTCCGGAGAATGTCCATGCCGAAGCGTATCATCTTGTACAAGTACGAGTTTGTGCTGAGTCTCGCACCGGACTTCGCTGCGCCACGGTTGTTGATCAGATACCGCTTGTTCTTGGGGTCGATCTTAGCCTTCTTCTCAGTGGAAGTGTTCGCGGCGTAGACTTCCTGGATGAGCTCATAGCAAAACACCAATATATCTCTGTTGTTGACTGTTGGGTTCTGTAGAACACCGAGTCCGATGCGTCGTAGAAGCTCGTCAATCTTTTGAACCATTCTGGCGTTGAGCTTCTCGATCAGGAGGGACCTGATTGGGAGCACAAGCTTGATGATGTGCGCGGGTGTAGCTGATCGTGCTATGATGTCCATGGAATCGAAAGACTTGCTGCTCTTGACTTCCTTCATTTTCGAGATGTACTCTTCTGCATCCTTCTCTTGACCTGCAGCACCAAAGGTGTCATCCATGACCTATATCCGATGTCAGTTTGTTTTTTCCAGTGTGAATTGTTCCGTTGAGGTACTTACCACGTCAACTAGATCCGCTAAACAGTAATCGAGATCGCCTGGGTTGGTTTGGTCGGCAAGCTTGACTAGAATCGAGTGTAGAGTAAACGAGAGAACGTGGAGCTGGTATCCTCTCTGAAGCGCAGTTCGCAGAGCCTTCAAGATGAACCCAAGGTAGCCCGGACCCATTAATGTAGCGATGTCGCTGAGCGTGTTTCTCGACATATCACGTGCTTCTTGCGCACGACTCTTTAAAATATAGCAGATGTCTAGAAGAACTCCTGGCAAGCGTGTCTCAATTTCAAGTGGTGGGAGCACTAAAAGGATCTTCGCAATTGCGACTGCGATTGGCACTCGTAGACTGACAGTGGCTTCATCCTTCTTGTGCAGGAAATTGGTGAGATCGGGCAAGAAATTGTTGATGAGATCGACGCTCAGCTTTTCCTGTTGTGGGAGGGTCTTGGCTAAGGTCGACAGAGGCTTGTCGACATCCATCGCGTCCGGATCCTCCTCATTCTCAGAAGCAACCTGGTCATCTTGTCCAGACGCGGCCTTCGCAATGTATCCTTTGGCGCGTGCTGCGTGATTCAACCCGTCCATCAAACCAGCGATTAGTCGGATGATCGGCTTTTGCAGATCTTCCTTGCTCGTCAAGTAGCCGATATAACGTTTGAGCAAAGAACGAAATTGCGGCCACTCTAGACCTTCAGTCAACGACGTGAGTGTTTTGATTGTCTCTCCTAGAAGACTATCCGCAGCCTCATCATCTCCTTTGTTGAAGACGAAATGCTCGAGAAGCGGGATGAGGACGTGGTAGATGTTTGTACCGCGCAGGTGAGACGCACTTGTGGCCAAGCGGCGCAGGGCTCTCAGTCGGCGATGGCCCTGGATGTGAAGAATGTTGCCAAAGAACGACGCCTCATCATCTTCCGAAAGGAGCACGTGCAGGTCCGCCACAGGGGCCCAGTCAGGGTGTGTCTTGACCAGATGCTCAAGGACAGCAAGGTATTCAATCCGCACAAGCTCTGAGTTCTCCCGCATACCGGCATGAATGCCAGGTAGAACGGCTGCTGAGATAAAAGCTCTGAACGGTTCGCTTGACGATACCTCGCTGAAGCGACGCAAAGATAAGGAAGCGTTCACGCGAATACTGAGCTCGTCGTTGTCTTTGATTAGATACAGCATGTTGTAGACTAGAGGTTTCCACTGTGCGAGCGTGTAGGACTGATAGCCTTGTTCATTGATGGCACTGAAAGCTTGGGAACGGCGTTCAAAATCCGGCTCGTCGATGCGTCCAGTGGCGAAAGAATTGAGATCGTGGCACAATTTCGAAATTACCACAAGACCGCTGCTGGTGTCCGAAAGGTCTTGAAGGACATCACAAAGCAAGGTTCGTGCTGTTCGATCTTGGACGAAACTGAACATGGGACAAATCGCATCGTAGATTGTGTCGAAAAGCTCAGTCAGACCCTGACTGTCACAACGCTGAATGAATTCATGAAGAATCTTGAGTAGACCCAACTTGGTTCGCGGGTTTACGCGCTTTGAAGGCTGGCGAAGCAGGAAAGTTGCGATCTCGATCATGCTACGCGACTCCGTGGCACCGACCACATGAGGGGCTAGATCCGCGACTGTTTGTACGCCAGCTTCAAGCACTTCCTTGCTAGGACTTTGGCGAAGTAGGTGACCAACTCGGTGAAGTATCGCAGTTGAGTACGGCTGAATGATGTCCGTGTGGATACGGTTCCGTAGAAGCTTTGAGTCCGTCGTCGGCACTTCGTCTTCAACAGTGACAAGAGAAACGATGTTCCGGATGATGTCGTTCAGTACAAAGCACTTGACATCATCCTTGGCTGAGGGTACCTCAAGGCAGTCGATGACCTTGTGTAGTATGACAGGGTTGAACTCTACTAGAAATGGGGCCGTAGCGCTCGATTTCGACCATGCCGCGAATAATCGTAGAAGTCCAGAGACGGATTGAGCCGTCTCAATAGGCAAATGCTCGAGCCTAGGTTCGACCATCTCTTTGACGAGAGCACCCGTGTACGGCTTCCATTCAAAGTCTGGGCAGTTCTCGAATAGCCTTCCTAGAATCTGCAACGCGCGCTGCCTTATAGTCTTCAGCAAGGACGTGTTCGTTGCACGACCTTCATCGTCTTCATTATCGTTGGGCTTTGATAGTTCTCGTGATGCTTTGATGGCGGAGTACAAGATGGGATCCACAACGGTTCCAGCGAATGGCGCGAATGTGGTTGCAAAAGTACTCAGCAAATCGTCCAGTAGGTTCAGCATACCGACCTGCTTTCGTGCATCGACCAAATCTTTTTGCAACAGCTCTTCATCAACTTCGGAGTCTTTCAAGATTGAGATATGACCAAGAGGCCCAAAAGCGATTTGTAAGAATTGATGTATGGCATCATCTCCAAATCTGTTCTTGAGGCCGACGAAAACTGCTTTCCTCTTTGACTCAAGTGCCCGTTTGCCAGCTATAACCTTGCCATACAGTAGTCGTAATACTATTGGAAGTACTTGATCCACGTCGGTGTCTTGAAGCTTTCCTTCACTGAGGAAGATTGGCAGCTCGTCACGGAAACGCTCATCGTCGAGCAAGTTGAGCAGTTGTTCTTGGTATGCCACGATAGCGGGGTCTTTCCAGGTGAGAAGCGCTTTCAGTGCAGCTTTTTGAATCTCAATGTCTCCGTTGCCTAGCAAAGCAAGCAGGGCTTCACGGACTTCATCAGTCCGGTATAGAACCTTAGGGTTGTTGAATTTTGCGAAGATCGAAAGCATTGCCTTTTGGTCTTTTCTTGCCCAACGATGCTGAGCGGCAGCAACGACATCCTCTTCAGCAGCGGGGACGTCTTCGGGTTCCGGCGTCGTTTGGTTTAGCGCCCAGTTCAAGAGTACGGGTACGAGAAGGCGCGACCGCTTCTCCGCGATATGCGGCAAAGAACTCAAGACTCTCAGAGCCTGCGTCCTACTGAATGGGTTGTGGAAAGGTACTTCGGCATGGTTGTCTTTGAATAGAATCTCTAGCTGCTCTTCAGTGCTGTCGGCCTGAGACTGTATGTTAGAGATATGGTCCTGTAATTGCATGAGGTTGGTACACTCGAATTCGGTGGCGTAGGGTCGTTGTGAAGAGGCCGTTTGGGGTTCTTCAGTAGCACTCTCGCTGGCATCGGCAGCAGTCAGCCAGTCGAAGACCATCTGAGTGACAAAGCCCTCCCCCTCTTTCGTCTCGCATATTTTCTTTAGAGCAGTGCAACTATCGTCCCAGACCGAAGCTAGTCGAACGTGTAGCAGTCCTAGACAAAATGCGGGTATGGCCTCCCCTACCCAATGGGCGGAGCATACACCTGGGTACAACTTTGCGATCTGCCCTATCCGCATCGAAATAGATCTCTGAGTCTCGAGGTTTAGTGGTGATTGCTCGATCAGCATTGCGATATGCAGGATGTTCTGGTGCTCCTCGGTCTGTTCCGCGATAATCTGTAGAACGTATATGGCTACGAGTCTCAGATCATGCGATGGAGAACCCAAGCAATGCATAAGAGTTCGCTTGAGAGGCTCCATATGCGAACCGGTAATGTCAAGTTTGGTCTTTTCTCGTTGTAACAAGCCTAGGAGCGCGCGCCAAAAGGCTACAGAATGGCCATATGTAGTGGATGCCTGGCATAACGCGGGCCACAGACTTGCTGTCAGATCGTCACTGTCGCCTTTCCCGATAAGAAACTGGAAACCATTGCCGGTAGCGAAGATATCCGTGGTTCGTTGGGGTTTTACGCTGTCGATGTTCACGGCGTTCCTAAGCAGTTCTGCAAGATCGTTCCATATTCCACGCGTCTTGTCGTTGCTTATGCGAAGCGTCTCTATGGCGCCTAACAAAGCGTTACAGTAGTAAGTCTCGTGGTCCGAATCAGTACCACCACGCGCAGACGCAACAAGCTTGTCGAACGGCTCGTGTAAGCTCGTTTGCCAGTGCTCAGATGGTTGGAGAGTGCCATTTGCTAGTGCGCCATTGTCGTACAGTCGAGGAAGGATAGCGCAAAATTGTGACCCGTGCTCGTGTGCTTTCTGTGCAATGAACCTCTTGAAGTATGGAAGTAATAACGTCCGGAATCTCTCCACTCCTAGGTCCGCAAACAGGTTGCAGAAAGGTAGGAAGTATGGCTCCCATAAGCCACGACTGAGCTCTTCAAGTAGTTTTTCATAGGGAATCGCTGCATCCAAAGTACAGTATTGAAATACGACAGAGACAACAGACAAGAGCTCCCATGCATCAACAGAATCCAGAACTGTGGATGCCTTTGTTGAGTCGAGCAAACGACTGACTAGGACCAAGATAGGCTGCCAATTGTCGATGCGGTCACCCTGTCGTACACCACAGGCGACCAGTAGTAGGCGAGACGAAAGGCCCATATATTGTGTGTCGGCAGATGTCTTATCGATCTGTGCAAGAATGACTTCAAGCAGAGGCCCAAAGTTTTCAGCATCCGTGTGGTGGATCGCAGCGGTCACGACACCGGTCAGCACAGGCTCGAGAGGCGGTATTCGGAGTTGGACGTGCTCTTCGTTGTATGTCTCTGCTAGGAGCTCCTGCAGTATGGCTGTGGCGCTCGAATGGAATCCTCGCTGCACGCCCTTTAGCGAATCAGTCAAGAGGTACATGAGACCCTGTTGGAAAGCGTAGTCCTTGCCCGACTCTTGCTGGTCCTTGAGCTGGTCCGATATGTGCTTTATGATGGTTCTGAGCGGCATCTTGTCTCTGTGGTAGCCAGCACCGGCTTTGCGGACAAGGAAGCTGAGCGATTCGGCGGCGAAACGAGACACGAAGGCCTTCTGGCGCTCCTTACCGAGCAGAGGCGACATCAGATCGAAGACCGGGCGTAGGTTCGGCACTAAGAGTCGCGAGAGGTATTTGAACAGCCATGCGAGACAGCCAAAAGCCCACTCTATCACCTCGACGTCAGTGTGTGTAGCTGCCAGATGCGACACCGTCTTGACTGCCTTTTCAAAATGCTTTTCAAATCTTTCACCCAGGTCGTGGGCCAGATGCGCCATGAGACTAAGCAGCGGCTCTTGGCTGAATTTCTCGCCCTTTTCGATGTATTCTACGAGTAGCTCGAATATGCGATCGCTGTGGTGGAGGACCTGCGGGAGGCTGTCGCATAGTGGCGCGACTTTGCGGGCGAAAGTTGTGAAGCCTTCGGACATGTTGAGCTCCCTCCACTCCATGAAAGAGTCGCGGAAGTAGGAGAATGTAGATTCGAGTTCGGCATCGTCGAGGATGGTGCTGCGACCGCGGCGAATGGGCTCGATTTTGAGCTGGGCAATACGCTGGGTGAAGCCTTTGAAGACATGGTTGCGCGTCGATTCGGTGCCGCCCTTGACTCTTTTCTGGGGGCGCGTCGGCTTTGCTACCTTGGATTTGGGCTTTGCAGCCGGCTTGGTGGTAGGGCCCCGTGACATGGCGGCCATAGTGTGGTGGGTGGTGTGGTGTTGAAGGCCGCGCCGTGGCTGTCTCTGCACTCGATGATGCTCCACTAGAATTTCCTTGCGCTAACAAAAAAGCTGGACCCTGGCACCACCGAGGTCTCCGACGCGCCAATCACCCATTCTCAACACCACGCGTCTGCAGTCCAACGCCCGACGTATTGGGATAATATCAGCAGAAAACAAGAGACAATCCAAGACAACACGGCCGTACCAAGCTTCAAAAGTCGCGAAACTACGTTCTGATCGCGTGTGCTTCCACATCAAGCATCAGCTGATTCACCGGCTACGTCATCCGGAATGGCCTCAAAAATGTAAGTGCAATGCAATGTCAGCGTGTTATATCCTTCTGACGCGTGCAGTGTCGTCGTTGGCGGCGTCAACGGCCAGTTCAAGACCGTCTTTCAGAAGCTGGGCGCGTTGCACGCGAAGAACAACTTCGCTTTTGCCATCGTTGCAGGTGATTTGTTTGCAGGTTCACTCGAGGCTGAAGGCACGGATGCAGCCGACGTACAGGCGCTCGTGAACGGTAGCATCGACGTGCCATTGCCAACATATTTCGCTCTTGGTAACCATCCACTCCCGCCAGCAGTAGGTCAAAAACTAGAATCAGAAGACGAAGTATGCCACAACCTCTTCTTTCTGGGGAAGCGGACGACTATGAAGACGTCTGAAGGGATCCGCATCGTCGCGCTAGGTGGGCAACTTGACGAGAACATCGTTGCCGGTCAGTCCAAAGACAAGTACCTGCCATTCTACACCGAGACGGATGCGAAAATTCTACGAGGAGCAACCACAGCCGACATTCTGATCACCAATGAGTGGCCAGAGGGCATCCGGAAGCGTTCCAAGGTCGAGTTCAACTCGGAGGTACAGCCGTCCATGCGACAGTGCATCGCCGATCTAGACGTGATACTGAAGCCCAGGTACCACTTCTCAACGTCAGGAAACACCTTTTACGAACGGGAGCCATTCTTCCATCAACCGAGTGATGACACTGACAACCTCTACCCAGTCACTCGATTCATTAGTCTCGCTTCCTTTGGCAACCCTAATAAGCAGAAATGGATATACGCCTTTTCTCTTGAGCCTTCAGCAAGCCATCCTGTCTCACCACCAACTGGCTCAACTGCTTGCCCTGTGACCCTCTCGGAGAAGAAGCGGGGAGCACCGGAGCACCGCGAACAGCACCTTGTTTACGACGACGGAAGCCGTGGCCGGAGAGGCAACAAAAGACGCAAGGGCGAGTCCCGCGGACCGATTACAGCATCAGAGTGTTTCTTCTGCCTAGCAAACGAAAACATTGCGACACATTTGGTGGCTTCAATCGGCGAAAACTCCTACCTGACCACAGCAAAAGGTCCCTTACCAGCATCACAGACATATCCCAAACTTGGCTTCCCAAGCCATATGCTCATTATTCCCTTCTCGCACCAAGCCACGCTCGGCTCCATGGAAGAGGAGGAACGTCACGCAACCTACGCAGAGATGCAACGGTACAGACGCGCGATGAACAGCATGCTTAAGTCCGTTGCGGACACCGAATATGGCTCTGTCACTTGGGAAGCCAGCAAATCCAGTTTACCACACACGCATTGGCAGTACCTCCCAGTAAGTGCGGATCTCATCAGTAAGGGACTCGTCGAAGCCGCCTTCAAAGCGCTGGCTGAGAATCTACACTGGCCGAAGTTCGAGAAAGAAGATGTTGGAGATGGATTCGAAGAAACAAGCGACTTCTTCAGGGTCTTGGTGTGGAATCCAAAAGACGACCCTGACAAGCAGACGAGCTACGTTATGCGCTTTGACGAGAAGATTCGTTTCCATAACCAGTTCGGACGTGAAGTATTGGCGAAGCTATTGAGGCTCGACAACCGCGTCGACTGGAAGAACTGCGGACAAACCCAAGCCCAGGAAGAGCAAGATGTTGAAAAGTTCAAAGAAGCATTCAAGAACTTTGACTTCGCTGCATAATACTCGTCGTCACCGGTTTGCACGCACAAGTCTAAGTCATAAGATGGTGGTCGGCATGGACACAGGTGTATTTCACATTGTGCGTCTCACGAGTACCTGTGTGGTAGCAGTATGGGCCTAATCTTACCTCCAACTCGAGATCGACCCATCAGCCAAGTCTTTAGGCCCCGAGGTCGCTGCCAACATACTCGAAACGGCAGTTCTCACAAGAAAGTGTCCAACACAGCACTAAAGGGTTGGCATACCAAGCTCCGGTCTCGCCCGGCTTGTTCCCGAGCCGCCGGCATGTCTCATCTTCGTCAGCGCTCGTCGCGCAGTTTTCAAAGCATTGAGAAGTCTTCGCTTTGCAGCATCAGCTCAATACCCAAAACTTGTGTATATTAGGGTCTGCGCCATCCGGACAACGCTTCACCAATTATGGCTTGGCATTTCCTGTTGAGGCTAACAGCTTTCTTCTTCCAGCCAAGACCAATGCTTGGCCTCACGTGTAGCATGAAGCGGGGCAACTACCAATCAATCCTTCTCAACTACTTTCTTACCCCCTAGATCACTTTAAGTGCTTCGGTCCCCTCCATCTCACGTTTACTATTCCTTATCTTTCATTCGCTCTACTCGATCACGCAAATGGATAACGTCCCGAACCGCAGGAAGCGCCGGTACGGTCTCGGAGTTTTCATCTAGAGCGCCAATCAAGATGACGATCTACACCCAAGCCCATGCACCCCGCGCCCTATCACATGTCGCGATAAGAGCACCTGCGATCATCCGCAACTTTGTTTGTTACAATGGTAATCTTGCCTCCTGCCACTCATGTCTACGCTACTATGCAAGTCATGCAAGTAGGTCGGCCCCGCGCCCCGCGAAAGGAAGGCAAACCACTCGTGGTGTGTAGCGGGCATGTAAACACGGCCGATCAGGTACACATCCCCAATGGGTAGATGATGGGCATGGTGTCGGTGACTTGGCTATCAACTCCACCTGCCTCTTTTGGGTCGTGAGAGTGGTAGCGCATGTGTCCAGTAGCCTTGGTGGTGCGAAGACCGGGTTTCCGGAACAGAAGCAAGGGCAAAGGAGTATACGATGGGCGTGGTGCTTATCATTGGATTCGACGATGTGTGAAGTGGAAACCGCCGAACACGGCTTTGGAAAAAAAAGAAGTATATAAGCGCCTGCCACGTCGTGTCATAACGAGAAGACAAGCCATAGACAGCACAAAGCCGTTCTACTTCATACCGCAACCTCCTCCCTCTTACGACCTCAGTCGCTTCTCTTCCAACACATCACCATGAAGGCTTCCATCTTCGTCGCTGTGGCTTCAGCCGCTCTTGTATCAGCAGCTCCAGCCCCGGCTGTTCTTGACGCTCGCGCTCCTCCCAACGTTCCCAGCAAGTCGGCCGCAACTACACAGCTCGCTGGTCTTACCGTTGCCGCCCAAGGTCCCCAGACTGGTTATTCTCGTGATCTGTTCCCTCACTGGATTACTCAGTCCGGAGCCTGCAACACACGCGAGACAGTCCTTAAGCGTGACGGCACCAATGTCGTTACTGACTCTGCTTGTGCATCAACCTCTGGATCCTGGTTCAGCCCTTACGATGGCGCTACCTGGACAGCAGCCAGCGACGTCGACATTGACCACATGGTGCCCTTGAGCAATGCCTGGAAGGTCCGTTTTCCCTACTCCTACTTTCTAAGGTCTCTATACTAATCACTCTACAGTCTGGCGCTGCTTCATGGACTACTGCCCGCCGTCAAGCCTTCGCCAACGACCTCACCAACCCCCAGCTTCTTGCAGTGACTGACAATGTCAACCAAGCAAAGGGTGATAAGGGCCCTGAGGACTGGAAGCCACCGCTAACCAGCTACTACTGCACTTACAGCAAGATGTGGATCAAGGTCAAGAGCGTATATGCGCTGACTATTACGAGTGCGGAGAAGACTGCGCTGACGAGCATGTTGGCGACTTGCTCATCCTAAGGGAAATGAGGGTTTCGAATGATTTACCCATATTTCAATGTATATATTCACGTCTTGATTGCGTTTTACAATATGCTGTCGCGTGAGCTTCTGCTTGAGGTTGATTGACTTGCCGTGCATCGAATTGCAGATGCATGAACCAACCTGTATCACTTTCGTACCCTGTACTGTCAAGAAGCTGCTTATATGATAGCTACAGTGTTTGCTCGCTGGCGATAACTATGTTCTCGAGCATCTATTTCAGTATTGCGTTCTGGGACTAGTATATTGCAAATATTAGAGCTTGAGGCTATGTACTACGTGATGTTAGCCCCTAAAGCAAGATTCGTCATAATAAAGTTGCAACAACGTTGCATCTATTCGCACCTTTTCTGATTTGGAATTGAACTAAGAGACCAAGGCAATGCAGAGACAACTCGCAATCGACAGTTTGTTGTAACTTCTAGTCTTTCGGGGCTGCAAAATCAAACATATAGCTCGAATTGCCTAAGGAAAAGCGAATTTGTGTCAAAGCCAGTAGATTCAGTGCCTCTCAAAAGTGGTTGCCATGATCAAGCCTGATCTCTCTCGGTACTTTGGCCCTCCTCCATTTGCAGGCACCAATTACCCATCTCCGTTTGCTTTGAGCGCCTCGGCCAGTGTACATTTTCCGGCATGCGTGAATCCCAACCCCTCGTAGAGCTTGACCATTGCGGTGTTTTCGGGCTTAACCATGGTCCGTACTCGTATCTTTGCGCAGGCACAGGACCGAGGAGAGTAACTTGTCCCACCCACTCATATACCTCGTCACCTGCTGGGCTGGCAGAAACCTTGGAAGCGCAGATGAATGTCTCACGACCAGATGTAAAGGCATTGGTACGATCCGTGACACCAGACAACTGCAGACGAGACTGCCAATATCCATCTCCAAAACGGGATTCGATCTCGTAAGGGTAAGAGAATGAACCGCGCGGCACGAGGGCTGAGAGACGAAGCGCCTTGTATTTTTGTGCTAGGGCTGCAACGGACTCGGGCTGAGGGTCGACGCGAAA